TCAGCATGACTGAAGCCAGTAGCTGGTGATGATCTCCATGTGCTGTTGCCCTCCTGTCTGTGCTGAAAGGCAGAGAGCTCAGGGTGCAGGAGAGCTGTGGGGCTGTTCCTGCCAGCCAGGGTGTCCCTGTGCCTGCTGAGACCACAGCATTGCTTCCCATGCCCAGCACACAGAAAAAATCCAGTTTTTTTCAGATTTCTGTAGCCACTGTAGAAATAATCTCTATCCCCACCTCTACACACGAGCACTGTGACTTCTGCTGTGCTTTCTGGGAGAGGTGCGAGCCAAAAGGCGAAGAAAAAAGGAATCAGATCAGCAAAAACCTCTAATTTTTCCTGGCTCCAGCGTGCAAAAGCACATAGAGTTTTTCCTGCTCTTTTCTGGAAAGTCTGTTCCGTACGTCAGGCAGGATCAGCACCACGCTGCCTTTTCTTCCTGGAGACAGGGAAGTGTTTGCCATGGCAACATGGCAGGCAGCATTTGGGCTGTGCAGGGGATCTCCTGGGCATTTATGGCTCTGTGAGCTGATGGAAGGCTCTGGAAGCAGAGGGGCTTCCTTGTGTCTCACCAGCCTGTCCCTCTGTCACTCGTCCTCGCTGCTTGCAGGGTGTGGACTGTGCAGCCTGGCTCTGCAAAGAATCCTGGAGTAGTTTGGGTTGGAAGGGACCTTAAAGACCATCTGGTACAACCCCCCTGCCACGGGCAGGGACACTTTCCACTGTCTCAGGTTGCTCCAAGCCCCGTCCAACCTGGCCTTGGACACTTCCAGGGCTGGGGCAGCCACAGCCTGGATGGCGGGGTGAGAAATGGGAGCAGTGCTGGGAGCACTGCTGGGCTTTGCTGGGTGTTGTTGGGAGCTGTCTCTCCCTGGTGCCTCTGGGGTTTCACTGCCCCACAAAAATCATAGCTTTGATCATGGCTCACAGACCTGGGGCTTCTTTCCTCCCTCCCCAGCCTGCACGGAGGCTCCTCTCTGCACTCTCTCCTCTCCACCTCCGGATGCTTTTCCCATTACTGTTCTGGCTGGGCTCCCTGCACCAAAAGGGCTGGGGAAGGCACAGGCCAGCGCTGCCCCCTCCCCTCCCCTCCCTGTTTGTGAGCTGGGGGCAGAGCGGGCCCACAAATGACATAATGAGAGCATGACATCAGGCTTGGCAGCGGGGCCGGCCCTCCTCTGCCGAACATTATATGTTCCGTGGAATTAAGGAGCAAACAGCAGTGCACCAAAAAAAGCCTGCCCACCACAGTGCTGCAGAAATAACCCTGAGCTGGGCTCTGCAGGGCCTGTCTGAGCATCCTGGAGGGACAGAGCAAGGCACTGAGCCCTCTTGCTCGCTTCCATCCTCGGTGCTTGGTGCTCTGTACCCCCACAAGTTCCCTGAGCCCATCAGAAGAAGGTTGGGCTGGTGGTGTCCTCACAGATCCATCCTCTCCAGGGAGGTGGGCTGTGGTTATCCACGGCTCTGGAGAGGCTCAGGGATGCACCCAGCATCACACAGGGACTTGGTAGCAGGGCTGGGATGGAGCTGAAGGCTCCCAAGGCTCAGGTTGATGCCCTCATTACTGAATGTTCCCGTAACCAAAGTTTCGTTCCCGTAACCAAAGTTTCGCCTTCCTCGCACAGCCAACTCCTTAAAATCAAGGATTTTAAACCCTTCCTTTGCTAGGCTGGTCAGTGACACGTGGCTGTGTTTGCTGGGGCGTTTGGGGAGCTGCAAGGGGAGCTCTGTAACACAGTTCTTGTCCTGTACCGTAGTCGTTGGTGGGTTTTGGTGCCCCATATCTCACAGAACGTGAGAAGCCTTCCAACCTCCTCTGGCACTGCACGACTCCAGTTTACAGGTGTGGAAACTGAGGCAGGACCAAGAAATTGTGACTTGTAGCTGCCCTTTTCCAGGCAGCACAGCCTATTCTCAAAATCCCCTGGGGCACAGGAAACAACATTTTTCTTTCTCCTCCTGGGGAGGGCGTCAGGCTGCATGTGCAGAGCATGTCAATGGAGAGCCTTGTTTGCTGCTGGCTCCAGCTCTGCTTTGAACCTGCTCCCAATTTCCTCCAGCCTGGCAGTGGGCTGGGAAAATACAGTCGTGGCAGTCTGTGGCACCGCCAGGCTCAGCTCTGTCCCACAGCCTTTGCCTTGGCTTTCAGTGCTCGGTATTTCCTGGTTTATTTCTTTGCTGCAGCCCAGCTTGGTTCCCAGCCACCTCTGCCATGCCAGGAAGGCATGATAGGATTTTCCATCCAAGCAGGAGAGGGAGCAGTGGGAGAGGGCAGGCAGGCAGCTGGGAGCCCAGCTCCCTGACTCGTGGCTGGAGGTGGCAGGCACTGGATCCACCACCATTCCTCAGCTGGATCCACCACCACTCCTCAGCTGGATCCACCACCATTCCTCAGCTCTCCCGGCTGTCCTGTCCCAGGAGCTCTGCTTCCCTCGCAGGCTCAGCACCGACGGGGTTGGGGAGGCCTCGAAAATTGGGTCCAACCATTCCCCCAGCACTGCCAAGGCCACCACTAACCCATGTCCCCAGGTGCCAGATCTACACGGCTTTTAAACCCCTCCAGGGTTGGGGACTCCACCCCTGCCCTGGGCAGCTGTGCCAGGGCTGGACAGCGATTTCCGTGAAGGAATTCTCCCAATATCCAACCTGAACCTCCCCTGGCACAGCTTGAGGCTGTTCCCTCTCCTCCTGTCCCTTGTTCCCTGGGAGCAGAGCCCAAATCCCCCCAGCTCCCCCCTCCTGTCAGGGAGTTGCAGAGCCAGAAGGTCCCCCCTGAGCCTCCTTTTCTCCAGGCTGAGCCCCCCCAGCTCCCTCAGCTGCTCCTGCTGCTCCAGACCCTTCCCCAGCTCCACTGTCCTTGCATTTCAGATAACTTTAATATTATTCAGTGAAGCTGACTGACCCCTGGGAGTCAAGGATTTGGGTGTTGGCTTCCCCTTATCTGAAGTTTAAGCATTTCCTCTGAGATGGAATGAAAATAACAACAAAGGATGTTTGTAAAGGGCTGGGGACAACGCAGGACCAACCCCTCCTGCCTGGCATCGTGGCAGAGGGATGGAGAAGAGCAGATCTGCCCTGCTGGAAGGAATCCTTCCCTTCCCAGCTGGGAAGCAGCAGGATGGGAGAGATGCAGGGAGGGCTTGGGGCTGGGTGCCCCAAGGGTTTGGTGCCTGTGGTGCCATCTGTGAGGGTGAGAGCTTCCCCTGCCCCGTGCTCCCCCTTCCCTGCAGCCAAGCAGCACTTGGACGAGGCTCTTGGAAATGGCAGAGCCCTGTTTTTGTAGCAGCTGAATGGTTTGTTTTGGAGGTTTTGCTTGTCTGGGCGAGGAGCAGGAAGGCATCTGAGCTGGAACAGCATTTCCTTCAGTCGTGGACTTGAGGTGCTGCCTAAAACTAAATGGGCGATTTCCAGGTATTTCAGAGGAGCAGGGGAATGTTTGTGCTGCTCTCCCTGTCAGGTAACTGGTTGGTGGTCTGGTCCTTTCCAGGACGGGGCAAGGACTGCAGGAAGGTGCAGGGCCAGAGGGGTACAAGGTGCAGGGAATGCTCAAGGAGAAGTGGAGCTGAAGCTCCCTGAGGAGGGGTCTGTCCGGACTGGCAGCAGCTGGGATTCCAGTCCGAGCTGTCTTGGGTGCTTGCCTTCCAAATGGGAGCTGGAAGCAGGTTTGGGGGTGACTTTGGTGTCCCCTGTGACCCCCAGTGGGCTGTGTCACTTCAGCCAAGGGTGCTCTGTGCTCCTCCACTGCTGTCCCAGCTGCCCCGAGACAAAGATCGCTGCTGTGATCAGATATTTTTGCTAAAATCCTTTTTTCAGTGGATTTGTTGAGCTTTTATTTTGCACATTTCTTGGACTTCTGTATTGGTGTTGCTGGTGAACTCTTCTGAATCCGCTCTCAGCTTGGCAAAGAACTCCCAGACAGCAAAATCAGGGAAAATAAACCTTTTAATAAGACATCCATCCCCATTACTTATCCCCAGAGTTTCCTGGAATCATACACAATTTTCCTGCCGCTTTGGCAGAATTATTTTCATTTGGATAAATGAAGCTTAAATGTCAGATCAAACCAAGGATTAATTGATTAAGGGGTAAAAATAAGCAGTGAGACAGCCAGGAGAAGTGAGGAGAGGTGCTTGTAGGGTAAAAGGTGAGAAAGGAGGGGGCAGGACATGGTGTGTCCAGCCCTGTCTGCTCCCTGGAGATCCAGGAGGGATAAGGACCATCACGTGGGCTCAGAGTAAGCGTTTTGATGCTGCTGAAAGAAAGTTTAGGCCAAAGGAGATTTGTCTGAAACCAGAATGTGAAGTTTATTGGGAACAAGTGGGGACTGATCAGCGAAACTTTCACCTCTCTGAGTGACATTTAAAACTGGGAAAGAGGACGGGGGGTGAGGAGGGAGCTGGGCTGGACAGGCTGGTTTGGTTTGAGTGAGTGGAGTTCTTTTTTAAGCAGTGTTCCTTCTAGAAGGACAATCTGCCCTGATATCAAATGGAAAATATTCTTTGTTGCTTCTTCTTCCATTTTAAGCTTTTCTAAAGACACAAAAAGATGTTTAAAACGTAGAATTGACGCATCAATTGTGTAATTACTTGATCAGGGCTTTGGCACGAGAAACGCTCTTGGAAGTTCCTCTTAAATTTTTCTGAAACTTAATTACTACTTCAGTCTAAATTATTTCTTAATGCCTTCTTTGAACATGTATCAGACCTGACTGTTTTTTAAAAGGATGCATCACACTTAGTGCCACGTTTATGGTGGCTGTCATCGCTCCAGGTGGGGCACACTGAGAGTCCTGATCTCTGTCTGCACATTACATGAGGAGCAAATGCTTTATGGTTGGGAAAGGTGTTTTCTTTGGCTGGGAAGAGTGCTCTGCTTCAACACACCAAACTTCCAGTCTGGAGCCTGGCTGGAGGTGGGAGAGAGGCTCTTCTAAGGTCTGGTGATGGAGATGTGACAAAACGGGGTTGAACGAAGGCTGAAAGTGGTGTTTTCTCTCCCTAGGGATCTTTCCAACAACAAGATCAGTGGTTTAGATGTTCAGCTGTTCAGAAGCCTGACTTCGCTGGCAAAGCTGTAAGTACCCCTTGGCCCCCAGTCCTGCAGCCCCTCGTGCAGGGCTGAGCTGGGCCCTGGCCCATGTGCTGCTGTGTCACAGGTCACTTTGGTCGTGTTTGGCCTCCTCTGTTGAGCCCCAGACAGTGGTGCCCACCAGCTCCCTCCTCAAGGCCTTCAGCTGCTCAGTGCAGTGATTTGCTAAGTGGCTTTGAGGGCTGGGCAGGATTTTGACCCTCTGTGCTGCTGGATGGAGAAGAGATGGAGGCCAGAGAATGAGAGTTGTCACAAGATGTGTGTTAGTGCATGGAAAATCATAGAATCCCAGGATGGGTTGGGCTGGGAGGGACCTTAAAGCCCATCCAGTGCCACCCCCTGCCATGGGCAGGGACACCTTCCACCAGCCCAGGTTGCTCCAAGCCCCGTCCAACCTGGCCTTGGACACTTGCAGGGATGGGGCACCCACAGCTTCTCTGGGCAACCTGTGCCAGGGCCTCCCCACCCTCACAGGAAATGGTGACAAAGCTGCAGTGACCAGGAGGTGGCTACAGACGTGATGAAGTTTCCTTTTCCTTTTCCCTCTTTTACAGAGATATAAGCCACAACCAGATTTCTACATTAGAAGATGGAATATTTGATAATTTATTTAATTTAAGTGAAATGTAAGTTCATTTGCTTTGTTTCCCAGTTCTTTCATTTAGGTCTTTTCTTGGAACAGCTCTTGCCTTCCTGGTGGGGTGGGGTCTCTCAGGGAGATCTTGGGCTTGTACCCAACCAAGGTGCTGCCTTTTGGGGTGTCTCCAGTCTCTTAATCTGTCCTACTCCTGGGTCCTGTTGTTGTCCTTCAAGCCTGACCTCTTCCTAGATTTGCTTCTGTCTCCTGGATAACTCCAACCTCTGCCACTGCCTTTTGTCTTCCCTGCTTCTCTCCCACAGCAGCTCTGCTGAGGTTCTTGTCTCTGACCATGCTCTGGGTCACACTTACTGTCCTGTTTGTGTGCTCACGCCTTGGGACCGGGGGATCTGATGATTCTGCAGCATGGTAGGTCCTGGCTGAGGTGTCCAAGGCACTTGGAGGTGTTGTCCCTCAATGAGTCAATTATTTTAGGTTCTGTTTTTTTAATTGAAGTAATTAAAGCTTTTGTTGTGATGTGGAGGGAGGCAAGGGGAAGCCACACGTTTCCAGACAGATCCATGAAGTCTCAGCAGTAGTGGCAGTTCTGTGTCTGAAGGAGCCAAAGGATTAACCCCGTGCAAGCCCTCTTGGCAAGCAAGAGAAAAGCTCAGACCCACCTTCTCCCCGAGGAGGGGACACAAAGGGCATTCTCAGCTCTGCTTTTTTGCTCTCAGGTGGCTCTAAAAGACACAAAGGCCCCGGGCTGGGTCCCAGGGAGCCTGTCCCTGCTGGGGCTGGTGGCAAAGTGGTGCTTCCAGCCCCAGAGTCGTGGTTCAGCTCAGCCCTGATGGCGTCAGCTCCACACTCAGCTTCCAGCTCCGTCCTGCTCGCAGCTGAGTGCCAAAGGCTGTAATTTGGATCAGGCTTAGCTGCAATTAAAGTTTCCATCTTTTCATTAAACTGCCACATGGAAAGATTATCATTGACTTTGCATTTCTTTTTTTGACAGGTCAATTTTATTCTCTTAGCTATTTTTTAATGGAGCTGTAAATAGTCTCCCAGAGCAGGAGAGGCTCCCTCACATCCAGGGGCTGTTGGATGTCAGATTATTTTAGATATAAGATTGTGTCTTGTCATTTGCTTCTAATTGCGACAATTATTTGTAGAGTTAAAAAAGTACTTGGAGTACTTGCCTAATTCTAGCCTCTAGAAAAATCACGTTAATTATTGCTTGATTCCCTATTCATTAACTCCCCTCCCAGTTATTCCAAAGCCTTTCAGTGGAGTGGCACAGATGGGAGCAGGGAGGGCTCTGCACACTGCTGTAATTAACGCTCAGCACATGTCACACTAATCCCCAACTATTTCTGCTCTCCCTCTGACAGAAACTTAAGTTGGAATCCATTTGTTTGTGACTGCAAACTGTCCTGGTTGCCCCGCTGGGTGGAAGACAGAAGAGTGAGAGTTCTTGAGGCGTCAGACACGAGATGTGCCCACCCCCCCGAGGTGGCAAACCTGTCCCTCTTCGACATCCCCTTCCCCAATGCCACCTGTGGTAAGGAAACACTGTGGGGTGGAGGTGGTTAAACCAGGGGCAGTGATGGGGCAGCTGGGCTCACATCGGCCTCTTTAGACCTTGAGTCACCAGTTCTAATGTAATTAAGCAAATCCTGGGCACACACAGGCTGTGCCCTCGTGCCTCAGGGATTCACTCAGTCACATCAGGGCTGGGATTAGCACTGGTTACACATCAGGCAGCCACCACAGCACACTGGCTCAGTGACCTCCAGCCTCAGGCTTTCATTCTCTCAAGGTTTTAACAGTGTGACTTTAAGCAGTGAAATGTCACGGAGCTGATGGGACCTGAGCACGTGCTGGGTCTTTGCAGGTAACAGGAGTGTTGAATGAGCACTGCCCTGATCCACAGCCCTTCACCTGCTCCTGGGGCATTCTCCTGGCTGCTTGGCCAGCAGAAACATCAGGCACTGATTAACTGGAGGTGGAAAGGGGGAGCCCAAGGAAAACTAATGGTGCCTGGATGCTCAGCTATCCCTGAGTGAGGGAGAGGGAAGGAGAGTGCTCCCCACAGCAGGGATCAGGCATCTCCTTTGATTCATGACAAGAGGATGCAGAGCTGAGGGACCTGGACCTATGTGACAGGAGGATGAAGGGATGAGGCTGAGGGATCCAGAGCTGGTGGGAGCCAGTTGAGCTGCCTGGTAAAGCACAGGCCTCCCCAGGAGCAAAATCTGGATTGTAGTTTCTCCTCTTTCCCCAGCAAAGCCACTCCAGCTTGCAGCATCTTGCAGGAATTATCAAGGGAAAAACACTGGCACTGTTGCTCCCCTTGATAATTAGTTATTCCCTCTTGAACTACTTTAAGCCAGGGTGGAAACAATAATGTGAGGCTGTCTTCTGGGTAATTCAGTGTAATGGGAGTAGGCTGGGACAGCCTGCCAGCTACTGACAGTTGTTACTGACCGGCAGGGAGTGAAGAATGACCAGGCTGGTGGTAAAAGCAGAGCAGTTCCCATGCCGTGGTCCTCCTCGTGGGACTGCTCTTAGGAGAAGTGGCTCAGCATTCTCAGGAAGGCTGTGGAGGAAGCTGGACAGTTGGATGGATTGGATCTGGGAAGATCACACGGAGCTGTTGAGATGTTTGGGGGAGATGTTGTAGCAACCAGCAGGAAGAGCGGAGCCAACGTGGCTGAGCTGCGTGGGCAGAGGCCGAGGGAGAGGCCCTGCCTGGGTGTTTGTGGCAGGGAAACGTCCCACCCCGTGCAAGCCAGAGAGGGGGAATTAAACTCAAGGGAATGGGCTGTCCCTCAGGGAATGGGGCTGTCGTGGCTGCCATTGCTCTCTGTGCCTGTCTGTGTGTGTGTGAGCTGGTGCACGTGTTGTTTCCGTGCGTCCTCCCAGTGTTTATCCTTCCATGGCTCTGGGTGCAGGCTGTGCCTGGCATTGCCCTCATCTCTAGCACCACGTTTTGCCTGTGGGTAGGTGGGAAGCTCTTGGCTCTCCCCAGGGAGGGAGGTGGCTGCAGGGTCTGCCCAGCTCCAGCGTGGGCCTGGTGGAGAATCCATCAGTGTCTCCCCGAAGTCTCCGATGTGCCACTGCCCAAGGGTGTTTGATTATGGACTTGTTGCTGGCTGTCCCAGGCAGCACTTGGTGAAACAGGCTGCACCAGACCTGGGTACCACCAAGGGACAACCTTTTGTCATGGTCTCACTTGGTGGCGAGTCCTTGTGGCTCCTCTGAGTGTCAGACACGGCGGCTCCGTGTCCCATGGGGCTGTCAGGCTCTCCAAAGCCTCGTTTTATTTACTGAGTGTAGCTGCTCCATAAATCTGTGTGACTGGCTTGTTATTTCTGTCATCATTAATTAGCATAAAGAGTTTGGAAACTGTTGCTGAGGGATTAAAGACTTCCCAGGCAAGTCTCAGAAAGGAAATGCTCGGAGTAGGAGCTGCACAGGAGAATTCCATGCCTGGGAGCGTGGGGGGGGTGTCTCTTGGAGGGTCTCACCAAACCATGGCTTCACAGTGTCAGTTTGCAAGAGGATCTTCTGTTCTGTCCCGCAGGAGCTCAGTACATCACGTGTCTGACAAACAACCACACGGAAGGGGCTGAACTTGTCGTCCTCTTCACATCTGTCCACGCTGGGAACCTCAGCGAGGAGACCTGCAGTGCCCTGTGCTACGCCCAAGACCAGGAGTACGGAGGTTTCAGCTCCCTGGGGCAGTGTCTGTGTGGAACTGCCCATGAAACAAACTCTTCCTCTGGCTGTTTGCCATTTTGCACTGAGCATTTGTCCGGGCAGGGCTGTGGTGGCCCGTCACTCGTCCCCTCGCCCTTCCAGGCACAGCTGCCTGTGTCTTTCACAGGACTCCAGCCCCGGTACAGCCTGCACCAGGCCGTGCTCTTCAATGTCAGTATTCCCATCGCTGTCAGCACTTTACTGTGGGAATTTGGGGACCAGACAGAGGTTCTCAACACCACTGGAAATGCAGCTGTGCACACGTACGCCTTACCCGGGCGGTACAATGTCACTGCCACCATCCTGGTGGGCACCAAGGTCTTGTACGAGCAGGCAGAAGTTGAGGTGGTAGCTTCACCCCAACAGCTGGAGCTGCAGTGCCCTTCCTTGGTCAAGACGAACGAGAGTCTGGACATCCGGATCCGCAACAGAGGCGGCACCGGCCTCGCGGTGCTGTACGGGATCACACAGGCCGGAGAGCTGGGCAGGGGTAAGCAGGGCTGGCTGGGGGGTGCTGGGCAAGGGAGGGGTGGCACTGCATCCAGGGCCTTCCCTTTGCCTCCCTGCCCAGTGAGGGATGGGAGGGGATGACTCCTTTGGGGGCTCCCCTGGCTGGGCAGGCAGCGTTCTGCACTTCAGCAGCAGACGGGGTTTATTGGCGTCAAGACCAGGACGTTCCTGGAGCCTCCCTTTCCAGATTGGCTTGGGACACGTGGCCCGGAGAAAGGACACCACGTTTGTGTTCTTTATGCAGCAGTTCACCCCATGTGCCCCCCCGATGGTTTGGTGTTCCCGGGCAATAACCACTGCTACCAGCTGGTGGTGGAGAAGGCGGAGTGGCTGGAGGCCCAGCGGCACTGCCAGGAGCACGGCAACGGAGAGCTGGCTTTTGTCAGCAGCCCCGAGATCCAGAGCTTCCTGGTTGCTCGTGTCATCAGGTGAGTGAGGAGGGTAAGGGTCAGGATCACCCAGGGACAGGTTTAGTGTTCCAGGGGTCACATCTGCACAGGGGGCCGGAGGGAGGGTCCTGCTGTGGTCCCGACTGGGTACGGGAAGGTGGTGGGAGTGAGGCTGCTGAACAAAGAGGAGGAGCCCTTTGAGCAGAGCAGAGCTTGAACCCTTGCTGGACTTGCTGGAAGCCTCCTCCTTCCTTAAAGGCTGTGGAGGGAAGAAGAGGAATGGGGACAGAACGGCTGGAAGTCGCAATAGGGAATTAAGGATTGGTGGGCACTTATACCCTGTGTTTGTGCCTGTGGGTGCCTCTGAAATGGTACAGAGAGGTGCAGGGCCAGGAGTACACGGGGCTGGGCTGAGCACACTTTCCACTTGGGAGTGGCTGTATACTGAAAGAGTGTAGGTTTGGATTGGATATTAGGAAGAAATTCTTCCCCATGAGGGTGGGGAGGCCCTGGCACAGGTTGCCCAGAGAAGCTGTGGCTGCCCCATCCCTGCAAGTGTCCAAGGCCAGGTTGGAGCAACCTGGGCTAGTGGAAGGTGTCCCTGCCCATGGCAGGGGGTGGAACTCGATGGTCTTGAAGGTCCCTCCCAAACCAAACTATTCTGTGATTCCATGATTCTGTGAGTGCAGCAAAATCTACAGGCTCAGGCTGGGTGGTGGAGAGATCCAGGTGCTCGTGTCCCGAGGCTGACACGAGGGTGAGGATGACAGGAGGGTGAGGGTGACACGAGGGTGACATGAGGGTGAGTGTGACCAGCTCCCTCCATCAGCAGAACTGCAGCTGGATTGTCCCATGTTGACACTGTGGCATCGAGAGCTGCTGTAGCAAAGCCCAGGGCAGTGCTGCAGTCCTGCCTCCCAGACAGGATCCTGCACCCTTCCAGACACAGCTGCAGCCTGAAGCCCAGACCCTTTTTTCCTTTTGTTTCTCATCCTGTTGACTCCTCTCCGAGTTTCAGGCTCCAGCAGCATCTGTTCCACCTCAGGACTGGGCTTTATAAACAGAGAGCACTGCAAGTGTCAGCCTTTGATTAAATCCGCCCCTCTGAGTGCCCTTTCCCCAGCCAGCCCTTTTTAGGGGGAGGGAGGACAACCAGGAGAGCTCTCAGGGCCTGACAGCCCTTGTCAGCACTCCCAGCTGCAGATGTGGGAGATGGGCTCTTCAAAAACACATCCCAGACAGCACAGGGAAGGGAACAGCTGCGTATGACGTAGGCTTTGAACGGTCCTGCTCGAGGGCCGACAGCCCCTTCTTCCCAAATTGTGTCCCAGCCCTGTTCCCTTCACACGGGGCTTTATCCTGAGATTGCAAACATGTGTTCCCTGCTCTGGGGCAGAGGGGGCTGTCCCTCTCCCGGGGTTAGGAGCTGGTCACTCGCTGCTCTGGTGTGTCAGGCCTTGCGTGCAGGGGAAACCACGAGGGCTCGGAGCCGCCCAGGCTGTTCCCCAGCTGCTGCCCCACGCTGGTCTCCCCCCGGGCCCCCTTTATTCCCTGTGTTTATTTTATTAATCCATTCAGATAAACATGCAGGAGGCGGTTCCAGGATGCAGTTTCCCCGATGATAAAAGGCAAAGCAGCCGAGCTGCAGGTTTTTGGAACATGCAGCTTCCATAGTTTCTGATGGGAAAATGGTAGAAGCAGGAAGCTGTTTTCCATTAGAGCAGCAGCACCACTGTCCTCTCCTTCTCTCCTGATGTGGGATGGCCTCCCCAGGAGCAGCATGTGCTGAGTTGGTCTCTCCTTGCCTCCAGAAGCAGAGGAACCTTCCAGGGGAACCCACTTTCCCCTCTGGGAGGCACAGGGAGCCCCTCTCCCATTCCAAGCCTCCCCAGGCTTGTTCTGCTCCTGCTGCCCCAGCAGGGTAGCTCGGTCCTTCCTCAGAGGCAGAGGGGTTCCCACATCCTGCTTCAAAGAAGAGTGTTCAGAGTCCTCCTGTTCCTCCCTGCAAGGGAACGGGCCAGGCAGTGGGGCAGGATGGAAGCCAGCCAGCAGCTTCTCTTTTAGTTTCTCCCTTTTTTCTTTCCTTTTTTTTTTTCTTTTCCTGACGAGTTGCAGTTAGGTCATAGCTGGAATTAGAAAAGGAAAATCTCCACTGAGTTCTCCTGATGGCAGCACGCAAGCAGTTTCCTACCCTGCTCTCCCCAATCCCCTGCCAGTGGTTTGGGAGCAGAACACAGCCCTTATTTACTTTTAAATCATATTTGCAGTGAAAACTACTGATTCACAGAACAGTTATTTTTGTCATCGTTTTTCAGCATGACCTCATGAATCATTTCATCTGGCGTGGGCCTGGGGGTGGAGAGACACCAGTTATCTCCCCAGCCTGCTTTGCACAGAGCAGTGGTACCACCCCAGGAGCACACTGGGGCAGGCAAGGTCACGGCAGGATTGATTGCAACCTGCAGGAGGAAGTCTGGAGAAGAAGCTGAGAGGTTGGAAGGGTGCAGGATGTTAATATGGAGAAGTTAATAGAAGTTAATATGGAACAAGTGCCTCACTTTCTGCTGGGTGCGATTGGGAACAGTTGTCCAGGCTGTCTGTGGCTATGAAAGACCGCTCAGCACTTCCCACCAGAATTTCTGCTGGGATTCAGCCAGTTTCCAAATGGGGAAGGGACATTTTATATTCCTAAAACAAGCCTGGCAGTTTTGTGTGTATGTGGGGTTCAGCTGCCTGCAGTGCTTTGCCTCTGCTTATCCACCCTGGCTGCTCCCTGGTGGCTCAGGAGCTGCATCCAAGAGAACAGGAGCTGCCAGACCTGGCACCACTGAGCTTTGATCCTGCACTTGCAGTGGAGCATTGGCAAACCCCCCAGGTCTGCACAGATGAAGCACAAGTTTTCTGAAGGATTCAGCTTTCTCGGACAGTTCTGTTTGACCATAACATTCCTCTTAGGTCAGGACTCAAAACAGGCTGAGAAGAGTCTGTGAGGGTCATTTAGGCTGCAGTGTGGGCAGGTCATGGTAACAGAGTGCTCTGTTCCGAGGGGAGTGAGGTTCAAGTCAACCTGCTCATTACAGAATCATAATAAATCATAAAATCACAGAATGATTTGGGTTGGAAGGACCTTAAAGCTCATCCAGTCCCACCCTCTGCCACAGGCAGGGACACCTTCCTCTATCCCAGGTTGTTCCAAACCCCGTCCAACCTGGCCTTGGACACTTCCAGGGATCCAGGGGCAGTCACAGCTTCTCTGGGCAACCTGTGCCAGGGCCTCCCCACCCTCAGCAGGCTGGTGGGACAGAGGTGTGAGGGGCTGTTGGAGAGCAGTGGTGTGCTGTGGAGGGGCTGTTACTGAGGAGCCAGGTTCTGGTGGCAGGACGGAAACTGAAACCCTTTAGGAACTAAAAGGCTCCATTAAATGCAGCCTGTGACACCCCAATGAAGCTGTTATTATTTTTAGAGAGAACCATAGATGGCAGCTCTCCCAGCTCTTTCTAATACTCATGATTTCCTGAAATCCCTCCTCCCCCTTCATATTTTTTTTTTTTTTGAAGGAGCCTCGATGTCTGGATTGGATTCAACGATTTTGCAAGCTCTGGAGCGCAGCAAAGAGGGGAAGGATTTAATCTGGAGAGCTGTCAGAACTGGCTGCCAGGAGAGCCCCATCCCTCCAACGCTGACCACTGCGTCCGGATGGGCCCGACGGGCCAGTGCAACACCGACCTGTGCATGGCCAAGCACAGCTACGTCTGCGAGTACAAGCCCAAAGGTGGGCTCTGCCTCCCCCCCTGGCACTGTGGGCAGGCAGGTCACTGGCACATCCTGCTCTCAGTGGCACGTGGCAAGGGAAAATGGGGCTTCGTGGAGAGAGAGGGTCATCTGGAGCATCACCACAGAACAAGTAGGACTTGTAGCAATATTCCCAACAGAGGCTTGGCTGATAGCTTCCAGAAACCCAGCTTTAGCCCAAAGGGGAGAATTTGGCCTGCTCCAGTCTTTCCCATCAGCAGAAGGAGGGAGAGGGGTGAAGCTTTGAGGCAGAGCTCTGGAAATAGCTTTTCACTGTTGTTTGAGCAACCTCTGCTGCTGGCAGGAGGCCGAGGTGATGCCTTGGTGACTTGGTGTCCTTCTGTGGCATCGGGTACTTTGTGAGACATTGGGGCCTGATGACTAAAAAAGGTGTGAGGTGGTGTGTGCTGTGCAGGTCTGTGTTTAGGCAGCTTCCCAAATATCCCAAAGCAGTGTGGGGAGGAATAAACAGCATTAGAAAGGTCGTGAAATATGGGAGAAGATTTAGGCCAGAAGGAAGAGCCATTGCTAGGAAGAGGCCACTGGCCCTGGTCAGAGGGGCAGCATCAGTCCCCAGAGCCTGATCAGAGGTGTTTGCTGCTGCTGGAAACCAGCTGGTCCTGCACACATTTCCCAGGAAGTCCAGGGGCACAGGGAATATGAGGGGTGCACCTCGTGCTCTAAAATTCGAAGCAAATAATTAGTTGTTGGAAGGGAGAAGTGTTTGCAAAGTTCCTAGAAGTCAAAATTGCTGCAAACGTGACTGGTGCAGGATGAGAAAGAAATCAAAACACATCTAAGAAGAAAGGAGGTACAGAGTTACAGAGCTGCTTCTCCAGCACAGCTGGAGTGACAAGTGGTCAGGTCCAAGCCCTGCTGCAGCTTTGCAGGGTGGAGGGAATACCCCAGTCCTCGCTGGGTCTCACGGGCTTTGTCCAAATATTTCCTTTGTAAACAGGAGTTCTCCTAAACGCCGAAAACTTCTTTGAGGGCGACGCTGTGTTTGACACCCCCGAGGCCGTGAGGAACGTGACTGGAGCTGTGCTGGCAGAGCCGTGGCAGGCTGAGGAGGTGAGAAGGGTTTGCTCACCCTGCTCGTGCTCTGGGAGCCCGGGGAGACACAGGCAGGTGAGAGCTGTGTGTGTTTGGCAGGTGATGGAGTTCCCTGAGCTGGCATTCAGGCACGAGGGGTATCTGACTGCCCTGGAGTTTGTGACACAGGATCTGCATCAGCCCGTCCAAGTGAGGTTCCAGGTGCACAGGCCGACGGATGGAGAAGGTGAGACATCTCCTCAACATTTGTGGGATTGTGGGAGGGGATGCCATCAGGGCCATGTCAAACTACGGGGCCTTGTGACCCCTCTGGCTTCAAAGCTTTGACCTTAAAGGCTCAGAGGTTTGATTCTGTTTTTTGAGGGGGTCAAAATGCAGAATCTGCGGGGAGGGTTGGACAGCCTGAGACTGCCTTGGAGAAGTGGTTATCCTGGAAAAAAATAATAGAGGGAGAAGCCTCTCTCCATGCATGAAGAGAATGTGAGTGAAAGGAGCGTGTGTAGAAGTTAATTAATCTTCTGAGCTGTACTTTTTTACTTTGGGAAGACACATGTCAAATGGGAATGTATTCTGGTCCATCTGGCCCCACGGGTTAACAAGGAAGAACATTTTCCTGAGCCCATTTCTTCCTGATGGATGAGATAATCTAAAAGGCCTTTTATTCCTTGTACAACAGCTCAACAGTCACAGTTTTGGCAACAATTAATTCTGCAGCAGAATGTTTGTTGTAGCCGTAGGGTTGGCTGGTTACAAAAGAATCTTTTTTGACACTGACAAGCTGATACTTTGACATGGAAACATTAACTTCAGAAAAGTTGCTTAATGTGTTTTCAAAGTCAGAGCCAGCTCTGCTTTCTCTTGGACTTGCTTTTGCTCAAGCACAGATCTCTTTTAGAGTGCAAATTGGTGTGTTCTCGCTGGAAAAGGGACAACTTTGGTTTTAATGATCTTTGTGAATTTTTCCAGTAAAACAAGGCACTTCAGTAGCACCAGCATGTGCTGCAGTTTCAGCTTTTACTAAGAGTGGAGCCATCATCTGAGTGGAAAAAATGGTGGATTTGGAGGAAAGAAGTGCAGCAGGAGTGTTACTTGTGAGAATGGTGATCTCTGCTTTCTTTTTCACTTCTTCCAGACTACCAGGAGGGAAGCAATGCTACGGAACCATTCCACCCTGCTCAGGATGACGGGAACTGGACGCTGCTGGAATGTCCTCCTGGTTTCCAGTGGTGTCATTTGACTGATTTGTGCTCGTCCCACAACAACTGCTGCAATGCGACCGAGTGTGCCAACAACAGTTCCTTTGCCAGCAGCCCTGCCCCCGGATCCTTCCAGCCCAACAACAGCCAGCTCAGCTATGAACTCCACCAGGAATTTCTCTTTACAGTACCAGCTGGCCCCTCTTCCCAGTATCAGGTCAGTGTTTACTAGCTTTTGTAACCACTGGGTAGGTGGGGCAGTTTTCTCCTGAGGGCTTTGGGTAAATTTGAGTTGTGGCAGATGGAGAGACTGAAGTCCAGTGAAATGAAAGGATGTGCCCAGTGTCACACGTGCCATGACACGGCTCTGAGCCAGGGGCTCCCTGCAGTAACCTGTTGCCAAACACAGTTGGTCAGAGGGGTCAAAAGAGGGTGGGGAGGCCCTGGCACAGGTTGCCCAGAGAAGCTGTGGCTGCCCCTGGACCCCTGGAAGTGTCCAAGACCAGGTTGGACGGGGCTTGTAGTAACCTGGGCTAGTGGGAGGTGTCCCTGCCCATGGCAGGGGGTGGAATGAGATGAGCTTTCAGGTCCCTTCCAAGCCAAATTTTTCTGTGGTTCCATGATTCTGTGAAAAGGCCGTGCAGATTCCCTGGGCTATTCCCATGGCATTAACACAGTGGAGATGGAGCATAAAGCTTATTTCAGTGTTGGCACGTTTTATTCGGAGCGGCCAAGGAGAACAGAGTGGAGAAAGGTCTCCTTGTGCTGTGTTTGGATCTGCAGCTTTTCTGTTGGTTTCCACTTGGCAGGACATCCAGCGTCATGCCCAGGCAGGAGCTGGGTGCTGAGTGCTCTTAACGTGAGGCATTAATCCAAAAATGTCTCCGCTCTTTGCAGGTCTCATTCAGAAAAGAAAATATCTTTGTCAGGCCTGGGGATGTCTTCAGCATCCAGCACAATGCAGGCTCGGGCTCCTTCCTGCAGTGCCAGCCCGGCGCCACATCCCCACCCAGAACCGACGTGCTCCGTGTGAACTCCTCCGAGTGGGCCCTGGGCCCGTCCGAGGGCTCCGTGGGCCCCCCCTGGGTGAACAGCACCGTGTGCTCGCTGCGTGTCCGCTACGCCGAGGAGCAGCTGGTCCCGGTGCTCAGCCCCCACAACGCGGGGCTGGACCAGCCCGGCCTCTACACGGTCAGAGCCAGCGTGGACAACGGGGCCTTCAGCGCCAACCTGTCCTGCAGCTTCCGGGTGGCCTCGCCGGTGTCGGGCCTGCGCGTCATCCACCCCGCTCCCCAGGGCAGCAGGGTCTACCTGCCCACCAACCACACCGCCCTGGTGCTCAAGCTGTCCTCGGGGGTGAACGCCACGGCCACCTGGCTGGGGGACAACCGCAGCGTGCCCTTCACCGGGGCCTGCCCGGCGGCCGTGGCGGCGCTCGTGGCGCAGTGTGCCAGGGACAACAACGACACCTGGTTCGCCGTGGTGCAGCTGAGCGGCCTCAGGGAGGGGCTCAGCACCCACGTGCTGGTGGCGGAGAACGCCGTGAGCTCCCAGAACATCACGGTCACGGTGAAGGTGGAGGAGCCCATCCGCGGGCTGAGGGCCACCCCCGACCCCGAGAGCAGGGTCCTGCTCAACACACGGGTGGTGAGTGGGGGCTGCTGCCCTTAATTCATCCAGCTGGGTTTTTAACCTTCCCCTTTAGGTGTGTGTTTGGCTCTGGGGAGGCTGGGCTGGGGGGAGCACTGCTTGCTGCTAAGCTCCCAGGCCGCGCTGCCCGCGCTGCTGCAGACACAGGCATGTGGCACAAGCACTGGTGCTCTCCAGCAGGAAGGCAGCTTGGCTGTACGTTCCCTTGAATCCCCTCAGAGGTAAGGCAGTACCTCCTGCGAGGGGGATGCTGGCTTTCCACTTCCACCAGAGGCGTTACGAAAGGCCAGTGTTTACCTTCTTTTGACTTGTCAAGTTGTTCAGATTTGCTCTACTAAATCCTTACATCAGCTGGCTGAAGCTGTAAAAAAGCTTCGTCCGTCCAAGTCTTGGGGTTCCTCTGGCGTTTCCAGTCTTTTTGTTTTCCAAGCCCCTGTCCCCAGAGCTGCAGCCCTGGGAACCTGTTCAGCAACTGCCCCAAATGCTCTGTTCAAGCTCTGGCTGCTTCCAGCAGATCCTGCGCCTGCACCTCTTGGTCTCCCCCTTCCTGGCTGCCACAGTCTGCTCAGGAGGCACTATTGGAGTGAGGACAGGGCAGGTCAAGCCCTTCAGCCTTTGGGTCGGGCACCATCCATGGGCAAGGGTCAGAGGCTCAGCTTACAGGTGTAGCTAAAGCTGAGTTGTTTATTTGCAGATATCAGAAGGTTTTTTTAGACCTGATCCCAAGAGCAGAGTGCTGGGCCGTGGGAGCAGGGAGTGTGGGGTGTGCTCCCTGCTCTGCTGGTCAGGCTCTGCGTTTCTCCATCAGCAGCAGAGCCACAGACGATGTGTCACCTCTGTGTCATGCTCTGAGGGCACTGTCTGCAGGTGTGAGGTGCCTCCCAGTCTGGCCCTGCTCCCTCTCCAGTTCAGCTGGAGATCTCCTGGGAAGTGCTGGGCATGCTTTTCTCTTGCACTAGTATGAAATGTTCTCATGCCTTTCAGAGCTACATCCCTGTGATGGAGGCTGGGTCAGATGTGACTTTCCGATGGACAGTAGATGATAAGCCATCTTTCACTTTTTACAATGTTGTCTTCAACGTTATCTACCAAAGCCCAGCCGTGTACAAGCTGTCGGTAAGCCAAGGCCTTTCCCATGATACCATTTCAACCCTGGGTTTCCATCTCATCCCACAAACTCAGCGGGAAGAGCAGCAGGGAGAGGAGAAGGCAGAATTGAGCTGAGGTTTTCACTGTGCTCCCGACGAGCTCATCTGCTATTTCTCATTGAGCTGCTCTAGCAAATGCAAATAGTTTCTTCTGTTCTTCCATTACTTCACTTTATTCCTCATCTTTGCTTTCTCCTCTTTTCTCCTTGTTCTCCTTTCTGCTCACGGAGTGTCTGTGCTTCCTCCTCCCCAGCAGGAATGAGGCAGGGAGCCTCTGCTCTGGGAGGCAGGAGATGTGGATTCAGAACCAGGCAGAGGCAAGATGCAAACATAAGACTTCTGTAGGCAGGACAGACCTCCTGCAAACTCTTCTGTTCTCTGTCCTGTTCTCTTTCTCCTGATGCAGACTGGAACTGGGGTTTGTCATGGCCCCAGAAGGATGGAGCAGAGAGTCTGGGCCAAAGGGGGGGTGTGTCGTGGAACAGGAGTTTATCTCTGGCCAAAACATCTCTCTCTGTCATGCCCTGTACTGCCAGGTGGAGTCTGCTCTCGTCCAAGGTGCTTGATCCTCTTGCAGGGTGCCTTGGCTTCCTGAGGAGACGCCAGCCCCAGCTCCAAGGCCATGCTAGCACTAATTTGCTTGGTGCAGCACTAATTTGCTGGGTGAAGCACTGTGCTGACAAGCCTGGGGCGCTTTCACTTACAGAGCTGACAAGGTGCCATTAGCCTGGGGGGGCACTGGGTTCAGTTTAGCAGTCGCAGAAGCCTAGACATGAACTTCTCTTACATGTTGGGGTGAGACATCTCTACTCAGCTGGGTTTGCAGGATCCCTCTGTCAGCAGCTCCTGCAGGTGAGGAGGTGGCAAGATGCTCTGTCACCAGCTGCCCTGTCAGTGTTTCATGCCCAAATAATCTTGAGGATCCTGCTCTATTTCTGTTGTGTCTCTTGCCTCTCTTTCCTCCTCAGCCCAGCCTTGCTCTCTCTCTCTGTGCCCACCACACCAGGATCCTGGAGGTGCACTTTGTGTGCTTGGTTTTATGAGCCTCTCCCATCCCTGCTCTCTGTGCTTGAAGCCACTCATCTGCCCCTGTCCCAAGCAAGGTGTCTGTTGTCCCCTTGGTGGCCTGTGCTCAGCAGCTGGAGACAGTGTGCAGGGCATGTTGGAGCCAGCACAGGGGTAACTGGCAAGTTCAGAGCCAGAGGAGCCTCTGGATGAGAAGCTCCTCTCTTTCCCTCTTGCTGTAGCACCAGTCCTTCCTTGGGCTGGCTGTGCTGGTGGTTCCAGCAAGAGGTGGCTTTGCCAGGTGGGTGACCTGCCAGCCTAGGCTGCTTTCCAGTGCCATCCAGGCTCTTGCCCTGCCTCCCTGCCCCAGGGGCCACTCTTCTCTACGCTGGCCTGCTCGCCTGCCTGGTGGGACATCTTCAGTGCAGTGAAGCCTCACGCTCAGAGGGCAGCACGATGAGGTGACCCCCAGCACAACCTCTGTCCCACTGTCCTTCCCAGCTCACCGCCTCCAACCACGTCAGCAACTTCACGGTCATTTACAACGTCACGGTGGAGATGATGAATAAGATGAAGAACCTGACGGTGTTGGGTGTCCTGCCAGTCCTGCCCCAGAACAGCACCGTGGAGCTCACGGCGAGGGTGCACGTTGATTCGGCTGTGGAGGCTCTGTTCCTGTGAGTCCTTTGCTACGTCCCCAAACTTAGGACCTTTCTGTGCATATCTTACCTTGCCTGCACTGTTTCTCTTCCCAGGGCCAACTGGTCCATCTCTCAGATACTGCCTAGTTAATTTGAAATCCTTGTGAGTGTGGGTCAGTCAGACTGACTGGGACCTGTAGTTCAGTTCACTCTTTTAAAGTATTGCAACACTGCTCTAATGTTGGGTTCCTTCTCCTCTTACCAGTGCTGTGCTGCTCTCAGCGTCGGGCACAGCTACTGCTTTGATACTTGTCATGCTGCTTCCTATGTTTCTTTTGGAAAACCCAGCCCTGACCTGAAAGAGAGGCCAGGATTCCTCTGGGATTTCCGTGATTCTCCTGTTGTGCAGTGTAACACTGTTTACCTGTTTCTCCAGGTGGGATTTTGGAGATGGTGTCCAGGAGACGTACCTATTCAAACCTCCCTACAACAAGTCTTTCCTTGTTCCTGACCCCAGTGTCCATGAGGTTGTCATTGAGCACAACGTTTCACACATCTACCAAGACCCAGGTATGGTCAGGAAGGTTCTTTGGGGAAGAAGGGGCTCAGGTGTTTTTGTTATGAGGGGACTACAAGACACCATCCAATAAAACCAAGGCATGGAAGTCATTCCCTTGCTCCTGAGCGAACAGCCAGAGTGACTGGAAGTCTCCAGTTGCCATCCTCTATAACTCTGTTTCTTGGAGAGGTTTGGCCACGCTGCAAGAAGCAGGTCCACCACACACAGTCCATTTTTGGGCAGTCTCAGTGGATGGATGAGGGACAGGGTGGGTGCTGTGCTGGTGGGAGGGGTGGGCAGCATGAAAGGTCTGTTCTGTGGGCAAATAGAAAGAAAATCTTTTCTCTGTACCAGTTGGACTGGTTCCAACAGGTGTTTGGTCCTCACACACACGGCCTGGTGTAATTCCTGCTGGTCCTGGGCTGGAGCAGGGAAAGCCTGGGGTGTGCACAGCACAGGGGCAGACAGGCATGTCCTCACCCTGGTCTTGCTCTGCTCTCTTCCAATGCAGGAGAATATGCCCTGATGGTTGTCGTGTCCAACCAGTTCGAGAACCTCACGCACTTGACCCCGGTTCACGTCCACAGTTACCTGGTTGATGTGAAGGTGGAAGCAGAGGAGGAAGTTTTAGTCGTGAGCCGCCCAGTGACCTTCCGAGCCCATCCCCTGCCGTCCCCCTATGGCGTCGTGTACACCTGGGACTTCGGGGACAGGTCCCCCCTGCTCACAGAGATCCAGCCTACAGTGACCCACAGCTACGCCCAGAGAGGGGTGTACAACGTCACCGTGACAGCCAACAACACCGTGAGCAGTGTGGAGACAGTGGAGTGCTACCAGGTGTTTGAGGAGATCACCGGGCTCCGCGTTTCCGTGGGTGAGGCAGCAGAGCTGGGAGCGTCTGTCACCGTCAACGCCTCCGTGCAGACCGGGGACAGCATCACCTGGGTGTTCGACCTGGGGGACGGGACGGTGCTCAGGAGTCAGGAGCCAGTGGTAGAACACGTGTACATAAAGGACATCAACTGCACTGTGAATGTGACTGCTGTGAATCCCGTGAACTCCGTCTCCCAGGCTGTTCCTGTTCGGATATTTGTCCTGGAAGTGCTCAAAATAGAGCCGGCTTCTTGCATCCTGGAGCACCCGGACGTGCAGCTCACCGCCTACGTGACGGGGAATCCCGAGGAGTACATCTTTGACTGGACTTTCGGAGATGGCTCCTCCAATGTCACAGTCAGGGGGGACCCTGGGGTGAGGCACAACTTCACCCGAAGCGGGACGTTCCTGCTCTCCCTGACCCTCTCCAGCAGGTTTAACAAGGCTCACTATTTCACCAGCGTCTGTGTGGAGCCGGAGATAGTCAACGTCACCCTTCTCCCTTCCAAGCACTTTGTGAGGCTTGGGGAAGAGAGCACCTTCCAGGTCAGTGCTGTTCCTCCCTACCAGTACCGCTACCGCTGGGATTTCGGGAACAACGAGTCCGCCAGATCGAGTGGGACTGAGGTGACCTACACCTACAAGAACACAGGGGTCTTCCTGGTCACAGTGACTGTCTCCAACAACGTCTCTTTCAACAACGACACAGCATTTGTGGAAGTCCAGGAACCGGTTGGGGTAGCGAAGATTGAATATAATGGGACAGATGTTTTGGAGCTGAACCAGATCTACCTGTTCTCTGCCAGCATGAATGGAACCAAAGTGAGTTACTGCTGGGACTTTGGGGATGGCACTACCCAGCCTGGGCAAGTGGCCACCCACTCTTACAACAGCACGGGCCATTACAGCATCACTGTGATGGGCCAGAACGACGTGAGCTCCAACGAGACCACCATCGAGGTCACCGTGAAACGTCGGCTCTTTGGCCTGACCATCAATGCCAGCAGGACAGTGGTGCCACTAAATGGGTCGGTGAGTTTTGTAGCCACCCTCGTGGCTGGCACTGCCATCCGCTACTCGTGGATCCTCTGCGATCGGTGCACTCCCATCCAAGGCTCCTCCACGATTTCCTACACCTTCCGCTCCGTGGGCACCTTCAACGTCATCGTGACAGCAGAGAACAAGATCAGCTCGCTGCAGGACAGCATCTACGTCTACGTCCTGGAGCAGATTGAGGGCCTGCAGGTGGCCAGCGGTGACCTGGTGGAGGACATGTATTTCCCAACAAACAAAACACTCCATTTGCAGGCCGTGGTGAGAGAGGGAACGAACATCTCCTACAGCTGGGCAGTCCAGCGGGATGGCAATGCTGTGCAGACCTCCACTGGGAAAACCTTCTCCTTTAGCGTCCCCGAAGCCGGGAACTACACTGTCTATCTGAAGGCCACCAATATGCTGGGATGTGCCACTGTTAACAGGACGCTGGAGTTTGTTGAAAGCCTTGGTCTCCTAAAGCCCTTCGCCTTCCCCAACCCAGCTGCTATTAATGCCTCTGTTAACATAAGTGCCACCATAACCAGTGGCACTGGCATCACCTATGTGTGGTACCTCGAGGATGGCTCTTCTCCTGTTACTTCTGAACCCTTCATTATACACTCTTTCCAAAGCCCTGGGGTGATCGAGGTCGTCGTAGGAGCAGAAAACAAGCTGAATTCAACCAATTCAACAATTTCTATCTGGGTAGAGGAGGTTATAGAGGGGCTGAGTATAGGGACAGCAGAGCTGGACTGTAGGTACGTCTCATCAGGCTCCACGGTGGTCTTTGAGGGGGAGCTGCAGAAAGGGACTGAAGTGACCTGGCTTTGGGAGGTGCCCAATGGCACCTTGACTGGCCAGTCCGTGGCAGTCACATTCCCTACGGCAGGGCTTTATACAGTCCATCTGAATGCATCCAATGACATCAGCTGGGCTCTGGCCAGCAGGAATATCTCAGTGCTGGACAGGATCCAAGGTCTGGAAGTTCTCGCCAGCAAGAAAGTGGTGGAGCCAGGGGAGCAGGTCACCTTTGTGATCAGGATGTTGTCAGGTACCTCTGTGAGTTACCTGGTGAGCATAAGCGGGGACTACTCTGTGGTGCTCAACGGGTCCAGGTACACCCATGAGTTCACCAAGAGCGGCGATTACCTGGTGACTGTGACCGTGCAGAACCAGATCAGCATCGCACACGCCCAGGTGCTCATCTCTGTCCTGGAGGCCATCCGGGACGTCAGGCTCCTGAACTGCTGTGAGGAGGGCATCCCCACGGGCACGGAGAAGAGCTTCAGTGCCCGTGTGGGGAGCGGCTCCCGCGTGTCCTTCTCCTGGCGGTTCTCCCTGTGGAAAGAGCAAGGTCGATCCGTGGTCACTGTGTCAGGAGAGAGTGTTTCCTACACTCCAGAAGCTGCAGGGCTGCTTGAGATTCACCTCAGTGCCTTCAATGACTTGGGAAGTGTCAATGTCACCAGAACCATCCAGGTCCAAGACCCGATAGTCCAGGTCTCCCTCTCTGCCTCCAATGCCTTTGTCAACAGGACGGCGCTGTTCGAAGCCACGGTGGTGCCCAGCAGCAGGAGTGTTGAGTTCTTGTGGAGCTTTGGGGATGGTTCCTCCGCTCAAACAACCAGGGTTGCAGTGGCCAACTATTCCTACCTGAGCCCCGGGGATTACCTGGTGGAGGTGAATGCCACCAATCTCATCAGCTTCTTCATAGCCCAGCTCACTGTCACCGTCAAAGTCCTGGAGTGCGAGGAGCCGGAGGTGGAGCTGGCCTTGCCCCCCCAGGTGGTCATGAAGCGATCCCAGAGGAACTACCTGGAGGCCCAGATTGACCTCCGAGGGTGCATCAAGTACCAGACAGAGCACCTGTGGGAGATCTACCGAGCACCCAGCTGCATGGACCTGGATGACTCCAGCAGGATCCGGCTGCCGAACGTTGACGTGAACAGGCCCCAGCTGGTTATCCCGAAGCTCGCCCTGCAAGTTGGGAACTATTGCTTCATGTTTATTGTCTCCTTTGGAGATACCCCGCTGTCCAAAAGCATCTTTGCCAATGTGACTGTGATCCCAAGTAAGCTGGTCCCAATCATTGATGGGGGGTCATACCGTGTATGGTCCAACACTCAGGACTTAGTCTTGGACGGGGAGAAGTCCTATGACCCGAACTTGGATGATGGTGCACAGACCCCGCTGTTGTACGAGTGGTCCTGTACATACTCCTCCAAGGTAAGAGCAGTCTTGCACAGCCAGGGTGACCACTGGGGAGCTCCAGCTGCACGTCAGCTCCACTACAAACATGTCTGGCTTAAAATAGCTGCTGACTGCAGTTCTGGGGGCTGAGGGCTCTGGTCCCTGTCCCATTAACAGTTAAACGTCTCTAATGCCATCAGGGGACAGAGTTAGACTTCAGAGAGGTCAAGTGACCACAAGTTGTGGTCACAAGCAGGTCACTGTCCTCACATGCTGAAGTGGTCTGACCCTGCACTGATGGAGGGGCAAGAGAGAACTGCCCTGCAGATCCTGATGGGATGTCCACCTCAGGAGCACTTTTTGATTGAATGTGGGATTCTTTTGCTTGTAAAATGTCGTGTTTTCTATATTTGCCTCAAAATAGCAAGATGTGAAGTGTCTGTGGATTAGACCTTTTGGGTTAATGTGAGCTTTTTGTGTTTCTTGGCAACGTTTATAAGCTATTTAATGAAGAATTAATTGCTATAAAATAAGAATCTGAAGCTCAGATGAAACACAGGAGTATTCCAAGTACTGTTTACTAACCTGAAGAGTAGGATGATGTGTTTTATTGTCCACACATGCCCTGTTTCTCCCACCCCAGTGGTGGCACTGCACGGCGAGGGCTGTGGCAGTGACTCTGTGTGGACCTGAATGTTTTGGCTGTGGACTAACCCGACTTGCACCCGTACCAAGGAGGGTTTGAAAGTTCTTTTCTCCTTGCAAGCAGAGCTCGGCTGCAGGGTGCTCTCTGAATTTCAGTGCCAGTGAAGGAATTGTCACAATCCCCAAAGCTGAATTAGAAGCAGATGTGGCGTACACGTTCGACCTCACCGTCAGGAAGGGGGACATGAGTCCTGAGGCAACCAACCAAACCGTACGTACCACAGACAGCTGTCACTGCTCTCCTTGGGTGCCTGGTGCTGGACACAGCCAAACTGGGAGTCACAGAATTATAGAATGGTTTGGGTTGGAAGGACCTTCCACCCCCTGCCACGGGCAGGGCCACCTTCCACTAGCCCAGGTTGCTACAAGCCTTGTCCAACTTGGTGTTGGACACTTCCAGGGATCCAGGGGCAGCCACAGCTTCTCTGGGCAACCTGTGCCAGGGCCTCCCCACCCTCACAGGGAAGAATTAGTCCCCAGATTTTAGGGCATCACTGGGGCTCTGTAACTGATCTCATCCAGGAGCAGACGTTGGTATTTCTGTGAGAGAGCCATCTTACAGTCGTCTTCCTTGGGCAGCACTTTTTGCTTCTCCTACCAAGTTCTTTTAGTTTCTGTATAGAATCATGTGGGTTGGAAAAGACCTTTAAGATCATCGAGTCCCACCATGGGCCAGCGAAGGAGCCGGGCCGTGGTCGGTGGCTCTCCCAGCACTTTGTGCAGTCTTGGCTCTTCACATACCACAGCAGCAGGGTCTTCCCTGGTTTTTGCCCAGAGAGAGCTTCCTAAGACCTGGTGCTTTAGTTCTACTGTCAACAGTTCCTCTCTTGTCTCCTTCCAAATTTTTTGAAGGGAGGATTTTCTTAAGTGCATTTTGTTTATGACACGTTAAGCCCAAGGCCAAGCGCACCCGCAGCCCGACGGTTCATGTCAGGAACGTTCATCTGGTGCACTTGGCAATTAGAGGTGTAGTTACTCTGAAAGTGGAAACTCTTACTTCAAACCGGGGTTTGAAACCAGAGCTGGAGGATGAAAAGAAAAAAAATGGAATTGATAGTCTTTCAAGGACATTCCGTACTATCTGGTTTCCATGCGCGAGCGCAAAACAATGATCCCAGTGTCGCAGGAAATTTGCAAATACTGGAGGAATGAATGGGGCTTCAATGCTCTCAGGCTTAATGCTGGGGAATATTTATCCTCTTTTAAGAGTCTGCCATGTTAAACAATGTCTTCATTACTGTCTTTGAATTCCTAATGCTCGTTATGGCAGGACAGAGGGCTCTGTCCAAGACTGGACAGGCCTGTTTCCTTGGGGATTAAAGGAATTTAGACAAAGTACAGGGGTCAGAACTCAAAAGCTGTTGTGTCTGAGCCACCGGTGCCTCTGCTCTCTCTGGGTGCTCTGCCAGGAAGGTGTGGTAGATATCTTGAGAAGTGCAGTTAGATTCCAGCTAAAACCCTGGAACAACATGCTGCTCTCTGGAAAAGGTGGTTCTTCCATCCCTAACCTACAGCCAAAGCAGGGTTTGCTGGGAATTCGGCACAGGGGGCCAGAGGGACATTTGGAAAGCAATTTATGTTGTTAAAGTATAGATAAAGTAAATCCAGAATGACCTAGATTGGCCCAGTTTGGCATTGAGTGGCTCTTGAAAACCAGTGACGGAACTGGGCAGTGTGAGAGCAGTGATGTAGCTTAAATCTGACTGGAAATCCTTTGGGAATCCCTTCCTGCTGTTTCCTTAGCATAGGCTGGGCTGGTGCAAAGCAATTCCCCCTTTCAGAACTGTGTCCTTACATTTTAGTTGTCTGTATTTTGGTGTCAGATCTTCTGATGGAGCCTCTTGCTTTCCCAGGTGTTCATCAAGAGGGGAGGAGTCCCTATCGTGTCCCTGGAGTGTGTTTCCTGCAAGGCTCAGTCTGTCTACGAAGTCAGCAAGAGCTCCTACGTCTACCTGGAGGGGACCTGCCAGAACTGTCACAATGACTCCAAGATTGGGGTAAAGTCATTGGTCTTTGCTTCACCTTTGGTAAAGTGTTTTTTCTCCATGCTGGTTGGCATTTTGCCTGTTATTCTGGTGGCTCAAGCAGAGGTGGTTTAGTCTCTCCTGATCCCCCGAGTGCCTCCTGCCCTCCTCTGATTCCTGATTCCACCCCACAGCATCCCTGCAGCCTGTGGAGTGAAGCAGGTCTCAGAACGGGCAGTCCTGTTGCTCCCAGCAAGCCCAGCATGTCCTTGCCTGGCATTTTCTGCCTGGTTATCTCACTGTTTCTCTTGTTATCACAATTGTACGTTTGTGCTATTAACAGCAACCACCCAGGCCATGTTCAGCTTGAAGCATATAAAACATGGTATCCCGTGGAGACTCCACCAGTCCTTCATTTATTTCCTGTGTTTTGTACTCCGTATTATGAAATATTCTGTCGGAGGGTGATGTAATCCCAGAAACTAAAGTAGATCTCACAGTGGAAATATTCCCACCAGACATTTTGGAAAGGTTCCAGTTCTTGTTGCTGTAGCACACAAGACTAAAGCTGAATTATCAACTGCAAATTTGGCAGACGCTCCCACTAGAAATCTGTTACTTTTTATAAGAGACTCAATCTGAAAACATTTTAAGGACATAACTGCAGATTTAAACAAAACTTCTCCTGTCTTTCCATCCCTGCAGAGATGGGCAGCACACAGCTTTAAGAACAGGTCTCTCATCCTGGACAAAACAACAACCTCCACTGGGGACACGGGGATGAACCTGGTGCTGAGGCCCGGGGCACTGAAGGATGGCGAGGGCTACACCTTCACCCTGCACATCACAGACCTCACCACGGGGGAGGAGGGCTTTGCCTCCATCGACCTGCTCCCCAACCAGCCCCCCATGGGAGGAAAGTGCTTCCTGTCTCCCAAAGGACCCCTCAGGGCGCTCATGACCAAGGTGCACTTTGAATGTGCAGGTGAGAGCGTTGGGTGGGGACCTGCCAGTTCTCCCTGCCCCTCACAGGCAAAGCCTTCCCGTGGCCAGTGTTACCAGATGCTCTTCCCACAGATGTTTCTTTTGCCCCAAACTCCTACCCCAGGATGTTGTTGGCCAGGGCTGATCTCAGAAGCGGTTTGGCCCGTGAGCAGCTTTGCGTCCCCAAATTATGGAGCTCTAAAACTCATGGCAGCAGGCAGGCAGTTTTATAAATCTTAATTCCTGTAGTTGAATGGTGACATCCAGGCCAGGCCAGCTCTTGGGGAAGAAACTGGTACTTCAGTGCAGGAAAAAGAAGATGGTGCCCAAAACTGAGTCACATTTATGTGGGAAGAATCAAAAGACAAAGCACTGGGGCCAACTCTGCCATGTGGGCTGGATGTTCCCGCCGGCAGTTACCTTCCCAACCAGCTGCAGAGACAGCAACAACAAGCCCAGCTTTGGAAAAGTGGCCTGGCTGGTGTCCCGTAGCCTTGGGCCAAGGACTAAGTGCCTCTGGAAACCAGATTTCCCCAAATGATTAGTGTTAGAGATTAGAGCTGTTTGTGCACAGTGCCGGGAAGCCACGCGGAGAGGGGATGGATGCTGCTGCTTCCAGGGGGCTGGTCACCCAGGCTGGGGGAGCAGCAGAGTGTGTTCAGCGTGGTGGGGTTGTAACTTCGGGATGTTTTGAGCTATCCAGAATGATGCTGAAATCCATTCCTCTTTGGAACGGTGGGAATTTCAGCTCTTAGATTGTTTTTGAGCTGAAGTGGCAGACCAGGACACAGACCTACTGGTGGGTGTCCAGCTCAGTGAGCCCTGGCAGAGCCAACACCTTCACTGGGGCTCACTGGCAAACATACAGTGCATTTCCCAGCCCCCGTGAAACTCCCCATAATTCCTGGGATCTCCAAGGAAACCTTCCCGTGGGTTTTACCCTTGACTCAGTTGTTCCTGAGGGCTGAGCCTCTGTCTAATGTCAGGCTTTGCAGGGCTTGTACAGAAGCCATGGCCTTGGTCAGTGCTGTTCCCAGTCCCAGCAGAGTTATTCCCATTTTTATTTCCATCATGGATTTTTCATAATCCTTTTAAACATTACAGGACCCAAACACTGTCCCTCTCACCAGAGCAAGGGACAGCAGCAAGGGCAGATCCATAGAATCATCAGAGAAGCCTGGAATGGTTTGGCTTGGAAGGGACCTTAAAGGCCATCCAGTGCCACCCCCTGCCATGGGCAGGGACACCTTCCACTATCCCAGGTTGCTCCAAACCCCATCCATGCTGAAGGACTGAGGGGGGTGGGACACCCCGGGGGAGGGAAGGGGCGCAGCCCAGACGGGTGGCCCAGGCTTTGGGAAGGTGTGTGCAGCCCCCCCATGCCCTGGCCCCCCTCAGCCCCCCCGTGTGTGGGTTTGCCTTGCAGGCTGGCGGGACACGGAGGACGCGGAGGCCCCTCTGGTGTACATCCTGCTGGCCTCGCGCCGCCGCCGCGGCCACTTCCACGAGTTCTGCCTCTACAAGGGCAGCCGGGCCGAGCACGGCGCCTTCCTGCCCCCCGGCTTCCACGAGAGCGGCTTCCAGGTGTCCGTGGCCGTCCTCGTGCAGGACCAGCTGGGAGCCACCGTGGTGGCCATTAACAGGTGAGGGTCACCAACAGCGTCGGTGTCCAGCCTGGGCTCCCGCATCCCAGTCTCGTGGCTTGGCCACCGGGTCCCTGTCCTGAAGGGCTCGGTGGATCCTGGGGGAAAGGTTTGCCTCCTGGAAGAGGCTGCCAGCAGGAAGGGGAGGGGAGGCTCAGCAGAAGTGCAGTACAGAGAATTCCAGCCTTCGTGGGTCATCGCTCAAGGGGAAGGTTTTTCCCAGAAGTTACTGCTTTCGTAGAATCTTGGAATCGTGGAAACGTTAAGGCTCGAAAAGGCTTCTAAGGTCATCAGGTCCCAGAGCTGGGCTGATGAGGGGCCAGGCCTCAGGTCCGTGGTGGTTTTCCATGCAGCTCCTGCAGGGTGGGTACCAGGGCGTCAGCAGTGCTGTCTTTGTGGTTCACCCACCTGCTTCCCTGTTCTCTCCCTTCCCAGCCCCGGTGACAGTCTGCACTTAACCCAAATCCCTCTTTCCCTTGCAGCTCCATGGAAATTGGCTTACCCGAGGGCTTTCCCAGCCTTTCCCACTGGCTCTACAACCAAACTGACACTGTGCTCCAGGGATTGGTGAAACAAGGGGACCCTCAGCAGGTCATTGAGTACTCCCTGGCCCTCATCACCATCTTAAATGAGGTAACGCAGCCCTTTCTGCCGAAGAGAGGCCTCCAGAAGTCCTTGTAGTCACCAGTAAAGTTCTTGGGCCAGATTTTGTACAATAATGTAGGGAAATTACTTATTCTACAACATCACCCTCCTGGCAGAATTCCCTTTCACTCCCACCTGAAGTGGGGCCCAGTCCTTCCATGTGCATCACTATAGGCAAGGCAGGAATTTTGGGCTATACTTGTGTTTTCCTGCCTGGTAAGGGCCTGCTGCACTCCTGGAAGCCAGGGTGGGATGATCCCCCTGAGCACAGGACTCTGCTTAGCTGGGTAAGGACTACACTGGGCACTAGTTAGCTGTCAAGTGCAAGGCTGTTCAGATAATTGCTTCGAAAGCATAAGCAAAATTGAGGAAGTTCTGCTGGGAAACCAGCTCATTAGATCCCTCTGGGGAGAAGCAGTTGAGGAGGTACAGAGAGCATGGAAGAGGAGACTTCAGCTCAGCTCATCATCCTCTGAAACAACCTCCTAGGTTTCCTCACTCTAGGTGCTTTTCTCCCCTCAGTATGAGAGATCCATGCTTCTGGAACCTGAGGCTGGGAATGAATTTGAGCTCCGAACCTGGACTCGCAACAACATCACGGAGACCCTGAACTCTCTGAAGGTGAACACTGTTGATGACATCCAGCAGATCTCGGCGGCCCTGGCGCAGTGCACGGTACGTTCCCATCACCACCTCCCTCCTCTGGCCATCCAGCTGCAGCTTAGGTGCTCTCCAATCCTTGTTGTGCTTCCCTGGCTCCCTCCCCGACACAGGGGGGCTCCAGAAACGCTGGAATAAAATGCTGGGGGATCGCAGAGTCTCCGAGGGCAGACTGGGCTCCCACCAGGAGTAGCACGAGTAGAGCTGGCCCTGCCTTGGGCCAGGGGCCAGCACCCAGGCCTGATGTTCCTCCCAGCCCTGTTTCTACCCTACAAGATGAGAAACCCTCCTTTGCTCTGCTCTGCTGCTGACTGGAAGCGCCTTGTTCCCCGGCCAGTTCCCAGTGCTGGGGCTGCTGCCTGGTGGATTGAGGAGGGAAGAGAGCCCAGTTATATAATGCACTTGGGGTTTGGTGGTCAGCCAGGCTGCTCTGGCACGATCCTCCTCCCCGCCCTCCCAAATCCTTGCCCTGGGGGCTGGAGTCAGGTACCTTGGCCTCGGCTGTGCTTCGCCTCCAGCCAGGTCAGGGCCTTGCGCAGCGGGAACAGGCGTCGGAATGATGGACAGACTACTGCATGCCACCCACAGAGTGCCTGTCCTGGGCTCCCTTCTCTGCTGCAGAGCCTGCAGACCTCAGAAATCCCGTCTTTCTGTTCGTCTTTGGGGTTGGGGCTCAGCACACCCCTTTCTGTGCTGGGTCGGTTTGTTTCTGTCTCTCCCACCTCCTCCTGCCTCGTGACTCGGTCTCGCTGTGGAAGCTCAGGTCCAGAAATAGAATTTTTGTTCCACGAGAAAAGCTGACATTCCAGGATTAGTTTGTGCTCTGGATCGGAATGAAAAGCTTAGGAAAACAGTAATCTAGAATTTCCCAAGGGGTTGAGACAAGTGGAGTTCACACATTCCTTTCCTGTAGAAAGGTCTGTCAGGGCTGTTACAGTTCTGATTTTACCTACAGGGGAGGGGAAGAATCAGAATTAGTTTATCCTGGAGGGAGAAAAAAAGAATCTCAGTCTTTTCTCCTCCCTAAGTAGGAGCTGCCCTTGGGTGGTTTCTCCCCATAACCCAGTTTCTTCCCCACCTCCCTGATTCCTGACTCGTGGACTCCGATTCACACACTGTGTCCTGGCTTCTCAGAGCTTACAAATAAAAGCAGAAAAGGGGGAATTCGAGACCTGCAGATGCTGTTTTGATTCTTCACCAAAACATGTGGTGAATCACGTCTGAATCCTGTGATGATTAAAAGAAAAAAAGATGAATAAGAGCGAGGAAGGGGGTTGTGGTAACAGCTTCCATGTGTTGCCTCAGTCCCTCCCATCCAGCCTCGAGAGTGCGGGAAGCTCCAGGCCATGGCTAGAACATTCTGTTTCTTGGACACATCTGGGAGCAGAGGGAGGGACATCCATCATGCCTGAGTGGCAGGGTCCCTCCCACAGCTTTCAGGAGTATTTGGACACTGAAACGGATTCAGTTAGGGCTAAATCCTGCTTCCACTGATGGGAGCAGAGTGGATGGAGGAATCCTATCCAGCTTTTTCTCGTTGGGTTCTGTGGGAATAGTGTGTAGCCCCGGAGGGAAGATGTGCATGGTCCTTACAAGTGAAATCCAGGGAACAGGAATATAGAATCATAGAATTCTGGAATGGCTTGGGCTGGAAGGGACCTTAAAGCCCATCCAGTCCCACCCCCTACCATAGGCAGGGACACCTTCCACTATCCCAAGTTGTTCCAAGCCCTCTCCATCCTGGCCTTGAACTCTTCCAGGGATGGGGCAGCCACAGCTGCTCTGGGCAATAATATGCCCCCTTTATTCCTCTTTCCAACCCAAAAGCATCCCCTGTCAGTCTCTGCCATGCCTGCCTGGGTGCTGGCACATTGGAATGTCATGGGAGGTGGATGGAAGAGTCTTGGAGACACCAGTAACTTGTTGGCCCCTCTCAGTGTGGGCAGGGCAGCCGTGGTGTCTGGGTGTCTTTCAGAATAGAAAGGTCTTTGCAGGACTGAGCCAGCTGGACTTGCCCACACCTGCCTCACCTTTCCCTGGGGATGTTCCTGCTCCATCAGACCCTGTTTCCCTTTGCAGGTGGTGAGCAAGGAGCTGGTGTGCAAGTCGTGCCTGACAAGGACCTTGAACAAGCTGGAGACCATGATGACCATTCTGCAGGGGGAAACAACCCAGGGCACTGTGACTCCGACTGGCATCGCTGACAACATCCTCAACATCACAGGTGAGCTCTGTCCTGCAGCACGGGGACAGGTGACCAGGGCACAGGGCTCCTGCTGAGGGGAGCTTTGGAGGCCTCCTCCTCTGCCATTTGGGGTTTGGCCTTCCCAAGCTGTTAGGAAATTGCATCTGACACGTGATTTGGAGTGTGGCATCCCAGTAGTCTCTTCCCCCTCATGTTTCCCAGGGTTGTCCTGGCTTTGGCAGCTTCTCTGCGGACATTTAAATATGACAGTTGTTAATAAACTCCCTTAATACTCCTAATAAACTCACTAATTCTCCAGGGATTTCTCTTTTCAGTAAACAATGAGTAACAGCTATGGCTTCCAGATGCTTTTCTTCTGGTTGGAGTCTGAGGAGGCTTTCAGACCTCACTGGGGCATCTGTGAGCACTGTGTGGAAATTCCCACCTGGTTGACCTGGGAGGAAGCAGAGACACATTCTCTGCACTCCTCTCTGAGTGTTCTCCACTTTATAGTGCAAAGAGTTAGTAACATATGTTTGTTTTATCCTTTCCTCCCCTGTTTCCTGATCTGTGGTTCTAGTCACTACACAGGAGGAAAATAAAACCAGTTGTGATTAAGTATTTCTCACCAAACTTTGTAGATTAGAGAGGCTGCAGGAATTTCTGGCAGCTCTGATTTTAGCTCTGGGCTACGAACACTTCCAGTGGGGAAGGTCATGTGCACGGTGTGGAGTAACAGTGAGAAGACAGTAAGGGAAGCCTTGTCTGATTGTTTTGGGAAGGTGTCAGGTGTTATCTGGACTCTGGAGTTATCCAGGCAATTTACCACTTCCTCTGTTTGCACCTTTATTTCTCTCCTGGCAGGTGACCTAATCCACCTTGTCAATACGGTTTCACAAGAATCCAAGCCCCAGGAGCTGCTTGCTGATTCCCACAACTTGCTGCTGGCTCCCAAAGCCTACAACCTGTCCTCCAGCCTGATGCGCATCCTCATGAAGTCCCGAGTGCTGAACGAAGAGCCCCTTGAGCTGGTGGGAGGAGAAATTAAGGCCACAGGCAAGAGGTCTGACCCCTTTAACTTGCTTTGCTACGAAAACACACCAAACTGCCAGTTCTCCATCCCCCAGGCCTTCAACTCCACCCTTTCCAACCTGACGGATGTCATTCAAGTCATGTTCCAAGTGGACTCCAACCCTTTCCCTTTTGGTTACATCAGCAACTACACTGTGTCCACCAAGGTGGCCTCCATGGAGTTCCAGACACACAACGGGGTGCAGATCCCCATCGGGAGCCTGGACTCAGAGAAAGCCATCACTGTGATGGTGTCAAACAGCACAGATCCCGACAACCTTGCTGCTGGCACGGGAGTCATCGAGCCAAGGACGTCTGTGAACCTGATTGTGAACATGGAGAGCAACAACAGAGAAGCAGGACTGCATTTCCAGCTCACCTACAGAGTCCTCAATGGTAGCACAGACAAATCCATTTCCTCGTGCTCTTTGTTCTTCCCTGGGAGAGGAGGGCTGGGTGCTGCAGCAGAGGAGAGCTGTGTCGAGGGATAACCGGGGTGAGAGGGGATACCAGGGGTAGCCAGCAGGTTCCACACTGCATGGTTGAGGTTCTGGCTGTCTCAGGCATTATCCAGTGCCCAGGGTCATCCTTGTTTGTGGATTCTGGCACTGAGAAGCCTTTTGCTTTTCTCAGCCCTTCTTTTGAGCCACATTAGCACTGGAGGGAGTTGGTCCAGTCCCAGTCCTGGGCAGGAACGATGGTATCCAGTGCTCAGGGTTCCTCTGAGCTGCAGACTGAGAGGGTGCAGTCTGGAAAAGCGTCTCTCCTGACTTTCTGCATCCCTGATTCTCCTCCCTGAACATCCACTGCTGGCAGCAGGCTTGTGGTCGAGTTTCCCAGGTGTTTCTGAAGCCCTCTGTGTCTGTCCCCCCTCCCCACACAGATCACTACCTTGCCAGCGAGCCTGAGCCGTTCATCATGGCCTATCTCCATCACGAGCCCGAGCCCGACGAGCACAACTGCACTGCCTCCAAGAAAATCAGCCTGGATGCCCTGGCTGGAAGTGACCACAAGCTCTACACCTTCTTCACCTCACCCAGGTAAGAGAAATCTCCCTGGTGGTCCCTGTCACCCAGGGGTACCTGATGCCTGCTGGAGTCTGGCTGCAGCTTGTCCAGGCTTCCATCCTCTGTGCACCGTGATCCCAGAGCTGCCCAGCTTTAGCAGGACTCTTCCCAAGAGACTCACACTGACCTTGGTGGGTTCAGGGTTTGCTTTATGCAGCTCATGAAACCCTTTCCCAGAGCAAAGCACCCCATGTTAACCTTGTTCTTGTTCTGCAGTGAAACCTTCAGAGAGCACCTCTGTCCTCACAGCTCCCCTTCCCAGGGGGTGACAGGAGAGCACCACATCCCTTGTGGGCTCCCAAAAGCTCTTTTCTTCTTATCAGAGCAGTCATTCCTGCAACTCCAGTTGCTGCCTTGCCCTGGAGCACGTGTTCATGCCTTGGATTATTTAGGAGCCATTCCTACGCATTATCTGAGGAGAAAAGATGGGCAGCTTGGGAATAGGTGGGGCAAGAGTGGGGTCACTGTTGTGCAAGATGGCACAGCTTCCATGGCTTTTGGGAACAGGATACTCAAAGAGGAATAAATCATCCTAATCAAATCTCCTCTCAGCCAAGATTCGTGGAAGTGTCGTGGGAGTCAGTGGGACACAGGGAAGGGCGAGTGGGAGAGCTGGGCAGGGAGGATGTGCAGTAGTGCTCCAGGTGCTGAAATGATACAAAATGAAGGATTCAGGTGGTCTGAGTATCTGCACTGCCAAAGACTGTAAATCATACCATGTTCACTGGGCTTCTCTTCTTTACTGTGTGCTCCCCTGCCCCTGCAGCTGGATGCTTTCCATGGGCACACATCCATCGGAACAAGCTTTGGGCGCCTTCAGAAGGTGGGTTGGTCATCTCCTTGCTCTTTCCCTTCTCCAGAACGGATGATCCCATCCAGAGATACTACCTGAACATCACCAACCACTTCAGCTGGTCTCCAGTGGAGGTGACGCTGGGGCTCTACACATCCCTGTGCCAGTACTTCAGCGAGCGGGAGAAGCGCTGGAAAACGGAAGGAATTGTCCCCCTGGAGGAGACCAGGCCAGACCAGGCCGTGTGCTTAACCCAGCACCTCACTGCCTTTGGGGCCAGCCTGTTCGTGCCCCCAAACTCTGTCCAGTTCATCTTCCCTGTGAGTACCCCCACACAGAGTTGTCACACACCGAGCAGGTTGTTGTCACCTCGCAGAGCCTCGGGCTCCTGTTCGAGCTGGGTCAGGCTGCCCTGTGCCCACCTGGCACCAGCACAGGCACCTGGGAGCCTTTGGGAGGTGCAGATGGGCACAGCTCACAGAGGGCTGTGTCCTCTGGTTGGGAATCCTGGCTGCTGCTGAAAACAGACCTTTGGCAGATGGCTTTAGTCCCCGATCTGGACACCTCACGGTGTGTTCACCTCTTAGGGAGATGCCAAACTCTCCTTCCAGCTGTCACCCACCACTGTTTTATCCCAGGGAATTGCACCTGCCAGCTGCTCCCTGCTTCCCAAGGGTATCCAAGCCCTTCCTCGCTCTGTCCCTGTGACGTGAGTGGGAGCAGAGAGCTGCTGGCAGCTGCTGCTGTGGTCCGTGGGATCGCGTCTGAGCAGTGATGAGAGCCAGGAAGGGGGCAGGGAATGGGAAGAGAGGTCCTCCCGGGGAAGGAGAGTTGCCTTTCAACATTTTTCTTTCCTCTCAGGCCCCGGGCCCGGGTCTGAACTACATCGTCCTGCTGACGTGTGCTGTGTGCTTCGTGACCTACTCGGTGGCTGCGCTGATCGTGCACAAGCTGGACATGATCGACCTGCACCGGGTGGGAGTGATTCCCTTCTGCGGGAAGAACGGGATGTACAAATACGAGATCCTGGTGAAGACGGGCTGGGGCAGAGGGTCAGGTGAGCCCACAGGCTGCTCCCGTGCGTGGTGCCTCAGGTGACATCTGCGTAGTTCACCGGGTTTGACCTCAGCACGTCACCCACTGAATGTCCCCTGCAGGGCCCAGAGCTGAGCTGGTGCTTGAAGCAGCTCTGAGCAGTCAGTCCAGGGCTTCCCACAGCGTTCCCAGTTCTTATTGGGTGATGATGGGACAGATCAAAAACCATGGAGTCACAGACTGCTTTGGGTTGGAAGGTTCCTTAGAGATCATCTCGTTCCAACCCCGCTGGTGCAGGTCCCTGGCAGGATGGCGGGGCCGGAACGGCCACACCTCGGGTGGGCTTCCCTGAGTGAGCCACTTCCCTGCAGGTACCACGGCCCATGTGGGCATTGCCCTGTATGGGGTGGACAACAAGAGTGGTCACAGACACCTGGATGGAGACAACGCCTTCCACCGCAACAGCCTGGACGTGTTCCAGATCGCCACCGAGCGCAGCCTCGGCAGCATCTGGCGCATCCGCATCTGGCACGACAACAAAGGTGGGACACCAGCAGCTGTGTGGGCTGGGGCACGTGGGTGGTTCGGGCCAGAACCAGGCTCTGATCCGCCCGATACCTGGGCCAGGAGAGAGGGACGAGAGCCTACAGTGGCTCCTGGTGACCTGCTGGCTCGGGGGGACATTGCTGGGGAGGGACATGGAGTCTCCATCATGGGGAATTCCAGAGGCTGGGCACGTGTCATCCCAGACACATATGATGCCATGTGCTGTGTGCTGTGACAGTGTCTGTAAATGTCACCTCAGGGGTGAGCTGGCTGTGCCAAGATTTTCTGGGTACTGTGCCTTTTCCCATTGGTGATGATAGTGGTGTCACAGGGAACTGCTGCTGTCCCACTGACGGGTCCTTGTGTGGCCCTCTCAGCTTTGCAGGCTCACAGAGGGAATACCTGCCATGAAACATTTCTCCATCTCTTCCCTTTTAGGACTCAGCCCCTCCTGGTACCTGCAGCACGTCATCGTGCGGGACCTGCAGAGCAGCAAGAGCTACTTCTTCCTGGTGAACGACTGGCTGTCGGTGGAGAGCGAGGACAACGATGGCATGGTGGAGAAGGAGGTGTTTGCTGCCAGTGAGTGCTCACCCCGGGTGTGGGTTTGGGGTGCTGAGCAGTTCTCGTGGCACAGGAGAGCAGAGAGACCCTGGAGCCTCCACACTGGCTCTTCCTCGTGGCAGTGACCCAAGTGCTCTGCTGGGTCTTTTGTGCTGGAGGACAGGGCACGGCAAGGAGCCGTGCAGGAGAGAATCACAGAACCATGGAATGGTTAAGGTTGTCTGCGGGGAGGGGTGTGGTGTGCCCAGCCAGGTCCCCTCTGCAGCGCAGTGTGCTGGTTTACAGGTAAACCAGCAGGGGAAATGAACTCAACCCCGAAGAGAGATTATAAGTCAGAATAACAATTTAATAAAATAATACAATAAGTACGATTATACAGACAAACAATTGGTTTTAACCCACAAAACCCGAATGTATAACCCAGCACCCTGGGGCATGAACAGAGTGGTGTTCTTTGGGCCCCCTGAGTCCAAAGTAAAAGGAGAAGGGAAAACCTGTTGGTTGAAAAGTGGTGGTTGCAGTCCAGTGGAGAGTGGTGGTCTGCAAGTCTGGTTGAGAGCAGTGATCTGCAGTCTTCCTCTGGATCCCACGAGTGGTTAAAAAAGTCCCAAGACTCCAAGATTATATATCCTCCAGTTCAGGCAGGAATGCTCAGTCCCTCCCTCAGGGCGGGGTGGGGGTTCCTTAATGGTTGTGAGGACAGGAGCATCCTCCTGTCTCGCAGGCCTCTTAACACCCAGTTTATAGCCTGAGGAGTCAGGCTCTATGTGCAGATGGTGTAAATGGTTCATTGATAACAGTTTCTGGGAAATGCCATGGAAGGCTCTAGAATACACAGTTTTGGGTTACACCCATCCAGTGATGAACTGGTCCCAGTTGTTCTAACTAGGGCACGAAGCCACCCTGAGTGTCCCTGTTTTGTCCCCAGGTGAGACGGAGCTGAGGAGCTTCTCGCGGATCTTCGTGGCGGAGCTGCAGCGAGGCTTCTTCGAGAAGCACGTGTGGCTGTCGCTGTGGGACCGCCCGCCCCGCAGCCGCTTCACCCGCGTCCAGAGAGCCACCTGCTGCTCCCTCCTCGTCTTCCTCTTCCTCTGTGCCAACGCCGTGTGGTACGGCGTGGTGGGCAACGTCCACCTCAGGTGCGCTGGGCCCTCGGTGCCCTGGCCAGCCTCCACCCTCCTCAGGACCCCTCCTGCCCTTCCCACTGGGGCGGGACAGACCTTAAACCCACGGGGAGCAGCTGCCTTGGCTGTGGCCTTGAGCCTGCCCTTCTCATTCTAAAGAGCTGGGAGCGGGGCGTGGGTGATGGACAACCAGGGACAGTCAGATTTTGGGTTTGCTGTGCCATCTGTTAGCACTGCCCAGGCCTGTTTCTTTCTCTGCCCATCTGAAATAACCTGGTTGTGCACTTTTGTCTCCTGCTTTCTTACCTGGCAACCCCAAATGCTCCTGCTGACACCTGTCTCTGGTCTCTCTTGATTCTCTGCAGCAACGTGGCCGTTTCCAACCTGATCCCTGTGAGTGTGGACACAGTGGCTGTTGGCCTGGTGTCCAGTGTGGTGGTTTATCCCCTCTACCTGGTCATTTTATTTCTCTTCCGGATGGCTCGTGGCAAGGTAAGGAGGAGGAATGGTTGCAGGCTGCTCTGATGGGTGGGATGCCACCAGCTTTGCTTATCTGAGGCTAAATTTTGCCCTTGCTGGGACCTCACCCCTCCAGCACTCACCACTCCACACCATTCCAAGTAGTCTCTGCACTTGCCCAGTTGTGCTGCACCATGGCCAGACCCTTCCCTTAGCAAGTCTCTGCCCAGAGACCAAAAGGGCAGGTTTTAGAAGCTGTTCAGGCACCTCCTCCCTCTTGATTTCAGTGTGTGACAGGCACTCAAATGCCATGCAAAGGCACAACCCTTTGCTGCACTGGCAGGAGCCCGGGAGATGCTCGGTGGAGCCTCTCTAATGGAATGTCTGCCCTGGGTACAGCTCAGCTGGCTGAGCAGAGCTGTGGTTAAGCAGCTGGGGAGGGATTAGCTGGGGATTTAATGACTAGTTAGGCACAATTAACAACCCCATTAAATATTGCAGCCAGCTGCTCAGGGACTGATGAGCAGCAAATGTGTCTGATGTTCCTTGTTCCTGTAAGCACACAGGAACAAGCTTTCAAACTCATGGGGCTTCCTGGGAGCTTGTCCCTGGGACAGCCTGGGTGGCACTGGGCTGTGGTTTGTGTGGGCACAGGTGTCCAGGGGGCTGGGAGGCAGTGCAGGATGGGTCTGTGCCTGTTCCCAGCCCCCCTGGGCAGGTCTGGGCTCCCCAGCAGAGCAGGGAGCTGGAGGGATCCTCAGCAGCAGTGACAGTGTCACCTCCATCCCTCCCTCCTGTCCCCTGCAGGTCTCCATCAGCCACACAGTGACTCACTCAGACCAGCAGTCCTTGGAGATTGACAACTACCTGGACTCCTCAATCCTCGACAGCTCCTTCCCCACCTTCCCCGGGCTCCAGGCAGAGGTAACCTGCTTCCTTCCCCACAGCTGGACAGGCTGCACGGGTCTGTGTGCTCCCTGCAGGGACACAGTGCCCACCCCAGCTGTCAGGGGGAGAGCTCAGGCACTCAGGTGCCTCTGGAAAATCCCAGTGCTGCAGGAGAGCACAGCCCTTCATCCCTCTCCTGCCCAGGCCAATCCCAGATCCAGTAGCTGTCTGCAGCTGTCTGTGGGCATGGATCTTCCCACGGTGCCTGTGGGTTATCTCTGGAGGGGAGCAGGCTCCTGGAGGTGTGGACCCAGAGCTAACAGCACCTTCAGCTTCCCAGTGGCTGCTGGTGTTCCCAACCTGCTGCTTTAACCAGGCACAGACCAGTGTCACGTGCCTGAAGTGCCTCTGTTTCCTCCACAGGCCTTCTCTGAGCAAACCAAAACAGATCTGTTCTTGGAGGACTCCAAAAGGTGAGGAGGTTTCTGGGGATGGAGTGAGCAGGGGTTTAGTTTCTGCTTTGCTGGGCTGGGGTTGTGCTGTTTCCCTGCAGACGTTCCTACCCAGTTCCTTTTCTCCTGCTTCCCCACACGGACCTGACGCCCCCGTTCCTGTTTTCCTGCAGCCTGGTGAGGTGGCCCTCCAGTGAGGCCCTGCTCAGCTGGCCAGACCTCCTCAGTGACCCCTCCATCATGGGCAACACCATCCAGAAGCTGAAGAGAGGCCGGGCCAGCCGCCACCTCGGGCTGGAGGCCCCGCTGGCCACCGAGGAGGACAGTTTGTCCCTTGGCATTCACCAGGGACAGCCTCGGTACTTCTCTGCCTCAGGTTAGAGAGGCAGAGCTGCAGAGCTGCTGCCATCACCACTGGCTTCACTTGGAAGGGCAGAGGAGGAGGGTTGGGTCTGCTTAATAGGGGTTTTAGTCCGGGAAAGCAGAAATCCTGGTGGGAATCAGTCTGAAGTGAGTGGTCCCACACTGCCAGCAGGCTGGGAGCAAGGAGGGGTGTGTTTCCATGGGAATGCTGCAAGCAACCGGCTCTTTCTCACTGGTTGCAAAGCCACAGTGTGTCCCTGAGCCTCTGTAAGTGGCTGGAGAAGGAGAACTTGGCTCCCTGAACCAGCAGTTTCCTGCCTGGCTCTGCAGGAGCTGGGGCTGGACAGGAGCTGCGGGACAGGGAGCAGGGGAGGGCTGTCCATGGAGAAGGACATCCCCCTGGCCCTCCTCCTCCTCCCCAGGGGTGCAGAGCCGTACCCTGGAGTGGTGCTGGGCGCTGTGCTCGTGCCCAATGCTCTTTGTGCTCTGTCCCTTTCCCAGACGAGGATCTGATCCGGCAGATCCTGGCGGATGGAGCCAGCGGCATCTCCCACTCCCAGGACCTGGGGCCGTACATGAGGGCTGAAACGGATCTCATCTCAGGCCTGTAAGTGTTTGGGGGGCAGAGTCCCCACTGAGCCCGAGCCTCCTGCCCCTTGTCCTCCCTCCCAGCCCCACGGTGTCACCCCAGCTGAGCTGAGCTGGATTTGGGACATTTCCATGGGTCACTGTGTTCCTGCTGGCCATGATTCCCACAGCTCCCACAGCCAGTGCTCCAGGAGGGCACAGCTATCCTTCCAGGAGCCACCTGGAATATCCCTTAAAGCCCCAGCTGTGCCTCCAGCACTTCTGGGCTGCTGGCAAAGTGCTGGGATTTGGGTTCACTTGATGGCACTGGAGGAAGGGAGAAGGGGGTTGAATCTTTGTTATAGCATACCCAGAGCACCCTGCTGGGCACCCTGACCACCACCCAGCCGGGCTGGCAGCCCACCAGTGGTAGCCACTGCAGAGTGGCAGATCAAGGGAGGGGAAAGACTTTCAGCCCTTTGTCCACGAGACGCAGAGCAGTGTCTGTGTCCCTTGTGTGTGTGTGTCTGTCCCAGGACTGGTCACTGGTGCTGGCACTGGAGTTCAGCCCCTCTCAGTGCCAGCAGTGACACAGCTGTCACCCCTTTGCCTCTCAGTGCCAGCAGTGACACAGCTGTCACCCCTTTGCCTCGGCAGGTCCAGCGTGTTCGGGGAAAAGGTGGAGACTGTCATGATGCAGAAGCTGAACGACAAAGGGCAGAGCATGGCAGCTCCTCCCAGGGAAGTGAGCAGATCAGCCAAGTCCACGTGGACAGGTACCAGGGCTGTGCCCATCGGGGCAGGGTGGGGGTGTGCAGGAACAGGGGCCATCCCACACAGCAGCACTTGGGGGAGCAGAGGGGAAACAGAAAAGGAGTCTTAGGGAAGGCAGCTCCCTGCTTGGGATGTATCTGCTCTTTCCTGCCAACTTCTTCTGGAGCCTGGATCTCTTCATGTGCTGCTTAGTGGGAAATGTTTGGGATAATCCCTCCAAGCTCACCCAGGACGGGTGGTGAGCTGGGACCCTTTGGCAGGAATGTTCACATTTGCTTTCCCTCCTCCTCCCAGTTGCAGACCAAACGTTCAGGAAGCGCTTGCTCCCACCCTGGTGCTCCTACCTGGCTCATGGCATCAGCCTCCTGCTCTTCGCCACCTCCACGGGGGTCTCCGTGTGGATCGGGGTGGGATTTTCCTCCAGCGTGGCCCTCATGTGGCTCATCTCAGGGATATTCAGCTTTTTGGCATCCTTCCTGGTCTGGGAGCCCCTGAAGGTGAGGATACCATGACACACCTGTACTTGTGTGTGTGTGTCAGCTGTAATTCATGTCTTGTCCAGCTACTGATCACAGAATCACTGAATGGGGGGGTTGGAAAAGCCCTTTAAGGTTGTCAAGTCCAACCATCAGCCAACCACCATGTCCTCCACTAACCCATGTCCTCAAGTGCCACACCCACACGGTTTTTGAGCATTTCCAGGGATGGTGACTCCACCACTGCCCTGGGCAGCCTGTGCCAGGGCTGGACAACCTTTTCCATGAAGAAATCGAGTCAGACTGGGCCCAATGTTAATTGAACGGTCTCTCTCAGCCCTGTATCCCTCAGGAAGGGAAGGATATAGATGAAGGATGGGGAGGGAGGGCTGGTGTCAGGGAGGAGCTGTGCTGTGCCAGCTGTGCTCAGGGGCCCACAGGAGCTGCTGCTGGAATGTGCAGGTGGCACAGCTCTCCACAGGCTCAGGACTCTACAACTCTCTACAACTACCTGAAAGGAGGTTGTAGCCAGGTGGGGGTTGGTCTCTTTTCCCAGGCAACGATCAGCAAGACAAGAGGGCATGGTCTCAAGTTGTGCCAGGGGAGGTTTAGGTCAGATATTAGAAAGAATTTCTTTCCAGAGAGGGTGATCAGCCATTGGAATGGGCTGCCCAGGGAAGGGGTGGATTCTCCGTCCCTGGAGGTGTTTAAGGACAGACTGGATGTGGCATCAGTGCCATGGGCTGGGAACCACAGCGGGGTTGGACCAAGGGTTGGACTTGATGATCTCGGAGGTCCCTTCCAACCCAGCTGATTCCATGATTCTGTGACTCTCCCTGCCCCCCAGGTGCTGCTGGAAGCCCTGTATTTCTCCCTGGTTGCCAAGCGCCTGCACCCCGAGGAGGACGACACGCTGGTGGAGCAGCCCTGCGTGGAGCACGTGTCGGAGAAGATCAGCAAAGTGCGGCCCCCGCAGGGCTTCGCCCTCTTCCAGGCCAAGGAGGAGGCCAGGAAGGTCAAACTGCTGCACAGGATGCTGAAGGTGGGACATCTCCTGCTACCTGGGCAGAGGGCTGAGATGCATCCTGGCGTGGGTCCTCCCAATCCAGCTGGGATCCTCTCAGCCAGTGGGTGCATGTTTTCAGCTTCTGCCTCAGTTTCCCCGTCTGTAGAAGTCTGGCAGTGATTTTCATCTTCTCTTTGGAGCTCTGAGGGGGCTGGAAAGCAGAAGCATGAGGGGGTTGATTTGGAGCAGCTGGTGTTTGGCTCCATAACTTGGGTGTTTGAGGCTAGGGCAAGGTTTGAGTGTGGAGCAGACACCGACTCGCAAGGGAAAATCCATTAGTTGAGTCTTTTGAAATGCAACTTCCTGTCTGGGAGCAGAAATTTCAGCCTTTGTAGTTCATTCAGTACTGATCCTCCACTTGTGCTGGGAATACACAGCTGCTTTGATGGAATCAGGTTATTTTTAACTGAGTGATTCCCCTTTAAAGATGGAACTCCCCATAACTATTGGATAAGCTGAACTGACAGCATATAGGAGCTCTTTCAACAAAGGATCTTGTTATGAGCCTGTGATCTGGGTTTCATTTTAAGCTGCTCCCCATATGAAAAAAGAAAGAACAGCCTGCTCAAGGTCCTCGTCCTGCTGCACAGCTCTGCTCTGCTGCAGGATTGGGATCCAGCTCCTCCATGCAATCCCTTTCTACTCTCTTTTTCCCAGAATTTCCTCATCTACATGATGTTCTTGCTGGTGATCCTGCTCACCAACTACGGGGACACGTCCCGCACCAGCCGGGCCTTCCTCCTGCAGAGCTCCATCAAGCAGCAGCTGGGCAGCAACGAGTTCCTCCTCATCAAGAGGTACCTGCCCAGGCCCTGGGATGGGGGATGAGGTGCTGGTGTGTGTCAGGGAAGCTGGGTGTTGGGCTCGTGCTCCACAGTCTGTCCCATAAAAGGTTCCCGACTCCACTGGGAGCACTGGTGTGGAGCTGGGACTCCCACACGAGCCTGGCTTGGCAGTGAGCAGGTCCTATTTGTGCCTGTGGTTCTTCTTCTCTCTTGGAGAGCAGAGGGGTCTCTGGAGGTGGAGAGGTTTCATTTCTCTGTGGGAAGGGGCTGTGTGAGTTACTGACGTTGAACTTACTGGAGCTGCTCTAAAGGACACAAGTTTCTCTGTCTCCAAAATTTACAACCGTAAGGTTTAACCATGAACAGGGTCACGAGAACCAGAAGTGACACCTCACAGAGTCCTGCCCTTCCTTGCTCTGCACTTTTGGTTTAACTGGGTGAAATTTTCCCAGCTGAGTTTTCACACCACTGGGAATTCCACAAGTCCAGCCTGACCCTGGAACACTGCCTGGGGTTGAGGGTGTCTCCTCCAGAGCCCTTGGTTCTGTGCACATCAGCGTGGCTTGGCTGAGCCAAAGTCACTGGAGCTTTGATTTCACCACAGTGTGGATCAGGAGTTATTCCAGTGAGTTTTGGTAGAGTTTTTGGGGTGCAAGTGGTGTAAAGGGGGATAATTTGGTCCTAAATAGCGTGTCTTTCCCACTGCACTGCCACATACCCCCTGCTCTGATCCTCATCCAGGTGCCAAGAGGATTCAGTCACTTTTAGGTCATGTCAAATAATCCCTTTTCTGAGCTCATCCCAGCCCCTGGGATGGGTGGGAATGTGCCTGCTGGCCGGGAGGAGAGCAGCCAGGTTGGCTCTGCAGTGCTCGGTGCCTCATCCAGGTGACACCCCCAGGCTGGGTGGGACGCTCAGAGCTGGCCTGGCAGAGCTGCCCCAGGGCTCTGCCTCCCTCCCACACCGTGTCCCCTCGCAGGTCGGATCAGTTCTGGCCCTGGATGTCGCGGGTGTTCCTCCCGTACCTGCACAACAACGGCTCGGGCCAGGAGAGCCACAGCACCACGCTGGGCACGGCCCGGCTGCGCCAGCTCCGCCTGCACCAGGGTACGTGGGCAGGGAGCTCATGGGCAGGGAGCTCTGCTCTCACTGCGGGGTGGGGACAGCCCTGGAGGGGCCAAATGGGCAGGTCTGGGTGCAGCTGGGGCTGAGGGGAGGCAGCAGAGGTTACACAGCCAGGTTTTGATTTGTGGTTTGTTCTTCAGTGAGTCCCCGGTTCTGCTCTGTGGAGATGAACTGGGGCAGCTGGTCATGGAATCCTGGAATGGTTTGGGATGGGAGAGACCTTAAGCATCATTCAGTTCCCCCCCCCGCCATGGGCAGGGACATCTCCCGCTATCCCAGGTTGCTCCAAGCCCCGTCCAACCTGGCCTTGGACACTTCCAGGGATGGGGCAGCCACAGCTTCTCTGGGCAACCTGTGCCAGGGCCTCCTCACCCTCACAGGGAAGAATTTCTCCCCAGTATCCCATCTAACCCAGGTAGTTTAAAGCCAGTGGGGTATTCCAGGAGCAGAGTGGTGGTTCATAGTTACCCCAAGGCTGATTGGGATGCCTGTGTTCTCCACTTGTACCTAACAAATCCACTCTGAGCTGCCAGTGTGGATATATCATGAATCTTACATTTTCCTTATTAATATCCATTCTTTTCTTAGTCCCTAACTTCTGCATGCTCCCTTCCCCTCACCCTGGTGAAATCATGAAGAGAAAGGTTGGGTTGATGTCTGGAGGGGTGGCTGAGGTGTGGAGGTGGAGGGGTTTGGGAGGAAGGGCGATGCTGGGGGCGTGAGCTCAGCTGTGCCCCAGCACTGGCTGTGCTGCACTGCCTGGGGGTGACAGTGAGGTCTCATTCCAGCCGAGTGCCATGCCCAGGACATCCTGCCCGGCGTGGGCAGGGCCCGGAGGAGCTGCACTGACCAGCACAGCTTTGCCACTGCTGACTATGGCACAGGCTGGGAGAGGGCAGCGGGGAACGTGACGGCGGCGTGGGCACACTCCCCACCTGACCTGGCAGGGTAAGGGGCTGCCCAGCCCGCTCCCACCCCCTGCTCCATCCCCTGTCCTGCAGAGATGGGTCAGCTGGTCCTTGCAGACCTTTACAAGGTCTTTACAGTGGGTTTTGTGCCCTGGGTGGTTCCCAGCCCTCCCCTCAGCGAGGTCAACTGCAGCCCCTGAGCCTGGCAAAGGGCAAACGGACACAAATGCCAAAGGGCTTCCCTGGGCACACCCACACTGGCAGTGGGAGTGGTGGGGGGCACCCAGCTTCCCTGGGGATGTGCATGTCACCCCAAACTGTCTGAACAGCAGCGTTGTGCTGCTCTGGGGGGCCCAGGGGCAGAGGGTTCAGCTCTCCACCTTCCAGGGCAGAGACAGGGAGGGTAACCCAGCACCCACACAGCAGCACTAGATGTGTGTTCTAGGGGGTGATGAGAGGTTGTCCTGCACACTGGACATAAATCACTGTTGGTTTCTGCTCTAGTTTGACCCTGGAGGCATCTTCATGGGCCACCACAGGGCCTGGGGCTGTTCTGAGGTTGGGAGCGCTGAGGTGGATCAGTGCACTCCTATGATTTATCTTGTGAAATAAATGCTGAGGCAGCTCTCAAAGGGCAGGATCTGCATCTGCACACGTGCTCCTGGCCTGTCACGAAGGAGAGCAGCCAGTGCCCTTCAGCCTCACGCCGTGGCTCCTCTTCCTCTGCAGGATCTGGTACTGGGGTTACATCTCCTTCTACGACAGCAGCGGGTACGTGCAGGAGCTGGGCCCTTCCCTGGAGGAGAGCCGGGCCCAGCTGGACTTCCTGCAGCAGCACACGTGGATCGACAACATGTGAGTGTGGCAGGGGCAGAGGACGTGTCCTGCTGTCAGCCAGGGTTTGCAGGGATTCTGCTGGAACGTCACAGAGAACAGGATCGAAGATCCCACCCAGCAGTGGTGGTGTCCCAGTCCCTGAGCCGCTCTTCTTGCCCCGCAGGAGCCGGGCAGTGTTTGTGGAGCTGCTGCAGTACAACCCCAGCGTGGACCTGCACGTGGCCATCACCCTGCGCCTGGAATTCCCGGGATCCGGCCAGGCCATCGCCGCCCTCACCATCAGCCCCTTCCCGCTGCTGCGGCTCAGCGGGGGGGTCACCCTGCAGCTGCTCATGATGGTCAGTGTGGTACCTCCCCCTGCACCCCTCTGCCCTTGGGGTCACTGCAGGGGGTCACTGCAGGGGGACCCTCACCCAGGCTGGTCACTGTGCACTCAAGTTCCCCTGCCTGAATCCACTTGTCCCCTTGCCTGTCACCACTCTGCTTCCAGGCCTGGGTAGCACACAGGGCACAGCCCTGGCACTGCTGAGGGGAAGGAGGTTCCTCCTCCTCTCGGTCTTGTTTCAGCATTTTTACTTCCTTGAGCTCGAGTCTGTCACTGTGGAAACATGAGGGTTTGTTCTGCCCTCAGTGGGGACATCAGCCAGACAAGCCATGTCCCCAGAGACCTTGCCTGGGTTTGGTGTCTGCAGAGACCTCGTCCCCTGGGCACTACCACCCTGCCACAGGGGCACTGGACATGGGCACTGGGGAGCTTCAGGAGGGAGTGGGGCACTGGGTGAGCAGGGAAGGCGGGGCAGGACACTGCAGGTGCTCCAGGTGGTGGAACTGGGCCTGGTCTGGGGGGCTTTTGCTGTCCTGGGTGCAGCACAGCAGTCAAGCATTGCCCTCTCCTTCCCTGGTAACCTCTCCATTCCTCCTTTCCTGATGACCTCTCTGTTCCTCCCCCAGGTCTTCCTCATGATGTTTGTGGTTTACTTCGTGGTGTCGGAGTCGCTGTCCATCAAGAAGGAGGGCAGAGCCTACTTCACCCAGTGGGGCAACTACGGCCAGTGGCTCTTCATCCTGCTCACCACGAGCACTGTGGTGGTTCACCTCAGCCAGGCCACCCTCGCTGACCAGCAGTGGCTCAAGTACCTCAACAACCGCAGGGGCTTCACCAACTTCTACCAGGTGGCCTTTCTCAGCTCCATGTTCAGCAGCCTGGCCGCGTCCCTGCTCTTCCTCCTGACTGTGCAGGTACGGGAGCTTGGGGGGAGAGCAGCACGTGGGCACTGGGTGCTTCGGTCCTCCCGTGCCAGCCTGTCATCTCTGCGTGGTCCCTGCCAGGGCCAGCAAAGGGCCCCGAAGGAAAACACGCAGGATTGAGGTCCTGATCAGGCACTGGTTGGATGCTGCTGCCACATCAGACCCTGCTGCAGGGCAGAGGGGGGGGCAGTGAGGCCACGTGTGTCTCTGCTGTAGCACTTTGGGTCTCTACAGCCTCTGGGCCCCCAGTTCCCTTGGCAGATCCAGCCGAGTGTGGCTGATGGGATGATTTTGGCTGCAGGGAGCCTGTGGCCTGGGGTGGTCTGTGCTCTGCCAGGGTTTGCGTTTCTCAGATGTGTGTGAGACCCTCCCCGTGCTGGAGGGGTCCGTGCTGTAACACCCCCTCTCTGCTCCCCAGGCTGCCCAGCAGCTGCGCTTCGTCAGGCAGTGGTCAGTGTTTGGGAAGACCTTCCAGAAGTCGGCCAAGGAGCTCACGGCTGCAGGGGTGGCCTTCGCCCTCCTCCTCCTGACCTACGCCCAGCTCGGCTTCCTGGTAACTACCCCTGTCCCCGTTCCCTCACAGGGGGGCTGGTTGTGGTCCTGTTGTCCCTCATCCCTCACCATGGCACGACACAAGCAAAGCCCCTGGGTCCCCTGGGTGCTCTGTGCCCACCCTGCCACAGGCAGCTTTGGCCAGGGGCTGTCCTTGTCACAGCTGGCTCACAGGCCACCCCTCAGGGCCCATGTAAGAGGGGATATCTTGGCTTAGGGAAACACTTTGCCGCTGATCCCTTCTCATCACATCTCCAATGTCCCCTTTGCAGCTCTTCTCCTCCTCCACCGAGTCGTTCCGCAGCGTGGGCAGCAGCCTCCTGCTGCTGCTGGCCCTGCTCCGGGGCAGTGGGGGCCTCCGGCCCTGCCTGCCCGAGGCCTCGGGCCTCTGCTGCCTGTTCTGCACCAGCTACATCGTCCTGGAGGTGTGGATCGTGCTGAGGCTGCTCACGGTGGTGCTGATCCACAGCTACCGCGAGATGCACTTCGAGCTGTACCGTCCTGCCTTCGAGCCCCAGGACTACGAGATGGTGGAGCTGTTCGTGCGCAGGCTCAAGATGTGGATGGGCTTCAGCAAAGCCAAGGAGGTGAGAGCAGCCTGGGGGCTCCGTGGAGAAGGGGCCATGTCCACCATCCTTAGCCTTCCTTTGCCTCTGGCTACGTCCCACTGCTGCTCACAGCCAGGCTCCTCTGGCAGGCGAGGGCTGGAGCAGTCGCTGTTCCTGAGGGCCCCGGGGCTGGGTTAGTGATGGGGCACTGCAGGGACATCGGCTGCCAGTTCTCAGCCCCACAGTTCCATGTGGTTTTAACTGGGATCTCCACGAGGTCCACAGCTTGTCACACAAGGAATAGCTGGGAGCAGCCCCGGGGTGTTTGGAGTGTTCCCACTGAGAGCTCTGAACTAACCCTGCCCCTGCTCCCCTGTTCCCTCCAGTTCCGGCACAAGGTGAGGTTCGAAGGGATGGAGCCGCTGCCCTCCCGCGACTCCAGTGACTCCAAGTCCTTCCGGGGCCCCACTCCCAGCGCCGCCTCCGACAGCTCCAGGGCCTCCACGTCCTCCAGCCAGCTGGACGGGCTGAGCCTCGTGCTGAGCACCCGGGACAGCCTGGAAGTGGACGCCGACATCCAGCGCCTCCTTTCCCTCTTCGAGATGCTGCTGGCCCAGTTCGACCGCGTCAACCAGGTGACGGAGGACGTGTCCCGCATCGAGCTGCTCCTGGAGGGCTCCCGGGGCCGCCGCTCCCGGAGGAGGCCCCGCGGCCCCGAGGACGGGCTGGGCAGGGGCTGCGCGGGCGGCTCGGAGCAGGGACCCTCTCCGGAGGTGTCGGACACGGACGCGCAGCCCCCGCGGTCCCCGCGCGGTGCCGGGGCCGTGCCGGGCGGCCGGGGCTCGGTGCCCAGCCAGGGCTCGGTGCCCAGCCGGCTCCTGCGGGCGAGCCGAGGGGTCAGCGCGGTGGCCCCGGGCAAACCCTGCGGCGTGGCCGCGCCGGCCGTCAGGAGGAAGCGGCCCCTCCGCGCCAAGAACAGGGTGCACCCCACGGTCAAGTAGCCGTGTGCGTGTGGGTGATGGGTGCAGGAGCGATGCCCTGGCAGGGCACAGGGAGGGTTCGCCAAGGGTGGGCTGTGCCCGCCCTGCAGCCTCGGGAGCTGCCCCGCGGCTGGGCCGGCCGGGGCACACGGGGCGCTCCCGCCACGCCGCTGGCACGGCCACCCCGGGGGCCTTCCAGTGTTACAGAGCAGGGGGAGAAGGCCGAGCCTTTCCCCTGGGGCTGGGCAGGTGCAGGAGATCCCCGTTGGAGCGGGGACCAGGGTGGGTGTTAAGTGGCCCCAGCTGTGGGTGGTGACGGGGGTGGGCACTGGGCAAGCGGGGCAAAGCTCAGCCCCTTCCCTTGCTGGCTGTGCCGGATGGGAAAGGACAGGAGAGCCCCAGGCCTCGAAGGTTTGAACCAAGTCTTGGATTTTTGTCGACCAGACGCACTGTGGAGGAAAGCGACAGCTTTCGAGAAGGTATTTAACCCACCTTGTTTTTTAAGCATAAATAGATATATAGATAAATGCTATCTACGCCCAGATCAGTTAATTTCCAGTATTGGCTACTTTTATCCTCCAGAAATTGGTACTATTATTTGTATTTAAAGAAATCCAATATTTAAAACAAAGGACATTGCAAGCTCCAGCGAGCCTGGCCAGGCTGGGGGGGACAGGGAGCAGCAGCTCAGCTAGAGGGCTTTGAGACCCCGGGGCTGCTCCAGCCTCCTCCAATTTGGGGTTCCCAAGGTGCTGGTGTCACCATGGTCCCCACCCATCCCTGTCCCCCCTCCGTGGCCCCCGGGCACTGCTGGCTGCTTGGCTTCTCTAACCCAAGGAATGTATTGCCCTAAGTATATGTATTTTTTTTGGTTTACTTGTTCCTATGTACTGCCCAGCACTTTAAACAAGGCTTTCCTCGGCTACAGTGACACGTGCGAGCTAAGAACGGGATAATATATCACAAAAGCAGTATTTTGTTTGTTTAAATCATAAACTGAAATGGGTGGCGAGGAGGCGAGCGCAGCCCCTGCTCAGGCAGCACCTTCCCTACAGCACAAAGGAGCTCCTGAGGGAGGTTTTTGGGGGTCCCTGCAGCCCTGCCCCCCCGGGACTGGCCGTGTGCTGGGCCACAGCTGCTGGGCTACAGCTGGGCTGTGCCACGGGGCACCCCCAGCTCACAGCACGGGGGTGCAGAGCAGGGCCTGGGCCCCCCCCCCCCCGGGGTCTGCGTTCCCCTCCTCAGCCCCATTTCACCTTATGGCTATTGTAAGTAATTTATATGGGGTGTGTTTGGTTTTTAAATGTATATATTTTTGTATGTTTGCTATATTTTCATAGCATCGGTACCGTGTTTGAAACATGTAGATAGGAGACAGAATACTATTGTCAGAGTTATTTAAAGGATGTATTAAGTGCTTCTTCCTGGGAATGTCCCGTGTATATAAGGATTGGGTGTCTGTGTGTGTGTGGTGCGTGTGCTCCCCTGGCTGAGGGTCGGCCAGGCTGGCTCGGGGCAAGGGGGGGAAGCCCCCAGGGGGTTCCTCCATGTGTTCCAGAACCTGCTCCAGGCTTTGGACAGGCCAGAGGGTGGAAGGGAAGGCTCAGGTGGGCAGTGCTGCAGGGGAGGTGTCTTGGGATTGGCTGCATTGTGCCTCTGATGCTCCTGGAAGCACCTTCCCATGGCAGGGGAGACCTTTCCAGGCAGAGAGAGGAGTCTCCTACGGCACTTCCATCACCTGCTGAGCCTCCCCTCCAGCCCCAGCTGTGCTGGATACTTCTTAAGATTTCATTCCATGATCCATGTGCTTCCTTGGCTCCTTGGCCACATCCCATCTGGGTGGCTGCAGGAGGACAGTGGGTACTTTGTGTTGGCTTTAGGACAGGTCTGAATTACCTCTGGAAAACTCGGCTGCTGTGCAGGACAGATGCTGTGGGAAGGTTGCAGAGGGATGAGGGCGGGAGAAGAGAAAGAGGATCAGTCAAAGTGAGCTGGTGGTTGGTCAGCGTGGAGGTGTTGGAAGAGCAGATGGCACAGAGAAGTGGAAGTGTAGAGGGGAAATCCAGTCCTGGTAACCAGGACACGTTGGTAATGGCAGGAAAGGCAGGTGGGAGAAGACAGAGAAGGTCAGAGGGAGGATCCCAGCTCAGGGGCAGGAGGTGCCTGGAGCAGGCAGAACCAGCACTTAGTGGTTGAGCCCAGGGCTGGGGCCAGGCATTGGTCAGCTTTGTGCTCTGTGCTCCAAAAAAAACCCCTGGTTTTCAAGGCAGAGATGTAAAACTGTTGGCCTTGGATTTTTTGTTCCTTTAGCTTCCCAGGCAGCACAGCACCAGGCTCTGCCCTGGCAGATGTCCATGATTTATTTGGTGACAATGCCAGTGCAAGCCCTGTCCCCAAATCCACAAGGCAGTAACAGGAGCAGTGGTGAGGTGTCCCAGGGACCTGGAATGTGTCTCTGCAGCTGATCATGGCACAGGGCTGGAGTCACATCCAGCTCCTAAGCTCCTTGCTCCACTCACAACTGCTCCGGCACAGCCATGTGGGTGTGGATCCAGCCACCCCCGAGGGCCCTGGGGGAATGTTCAGTGATTGAAATGAACCAAGCAGGTCTTGGAAATCTCTTGGAGAGACAAAAATTTCAGTTCACGACCCAGAGTTTAGTTCTCAGCTTGAGTATCCTCATTAAAAAAGGTCGGTGGTGAAGTGCAGGAAGGAGAGATGGAGGCAAGAGGGGCAAGAGCAGGGCCCCAACTGCCTGGAGCAGCCCTTTCTGAGCTAAAGGGGAAGCTGTAACAAGGACACTCCCCAAATCCATCAGGACTTTTGTTCCCAAGTGCCTGTTCCTTACTAAGCTTGCCCTGTGTGTATGTGTGTGTGTGTGACTTGGTGTGTGTGACTTACCAAGTGCTTCTTCTAATCAAAGAGGAGCAGAAATGGGATCAGACAACTGCCCTCCCTCTGTCCTCCCCTGGAAGAATGGAGAGCAGCTCTGCCCCCCTCCCCAGTTGTTTCCTGAAGAGCCCAACCCCTCTGTGGTGGGCAGCACCCACAGCTTCCAGCACTCACAGTTCTCAGAGCAGCAGTTACTTGTTGGAGCATCCCAGGGTCCCCTCAGTGTCCCAGCTAAGGCACAGCTGCAGCCACAGGGACTCAAGTCAGGAGTTACACCCTCACAGCAATAAACTTGACTTGCAGCCCTCGCCAGTGAACCCCCCTGAATGTATATTTCTGTGTCTGTAGTCACCAAGAGATGGTTTCTTATTTATTGTCGTAAATCTCACAACGCTGCATCAGGATCAAGCTGCTTAAAGGAAAAGCAAAACCCCGATCCATTAGTTCCAAGGGAGAGGGAGGGACTTCTGTAAGTGCCTTTTTTCTTTTTTTTAAAGAACTGATTGTGAACAAAATGCCAGTGGTTCCTGTCGGGTCAGCATTTCACTGCAAACAAAAATGGTGTGTTTTGTAACTGTGGGGATGTTTCTTAAAAACTGACAAGGTCAAATAAACACTGACTGCTACAACCTGGCTTGGGTGGTTTTGTCTCAGTCCCTGCAGCCCCTCTTTGAGGGGGGAAAACAGCTCCAGCCAGGGCTGCTTCCCCACCCCATACTCACACTCTTTGTGTCCAGAATGTTAATTAAGGTCTCCTGCACAACACAAGACAATTCCTTAAATCCTCCAGCCTCTTAGGGCAGCTCTGGGCTGGCATTGGTGACATCAGCTCCTGAGGTCACCTAAAGGAGACTGGGCCAAGGCAGAGTGTGGCTCCAGGGCTCACCTGTGGTGGGCAATGCCCACAGAAAAGCCCCCTCCCCACTGCAGAGGTTACCTGAGGCTGAACCACAAGGAATATCCCAGTACAGGGGCTGGAACACAGCCAGGAATCCCCCCTGTGTCCAGCACTGGGAGGTGAGGGAGGAGCAACACAGATCAGGAAGCTGAAAGGGGGGAGGAGGAAGGATTTACATGATTGGGAAACAGTTGGAACCTTCCCAGGCCAGCAAGAACCACTGACCAGACAAATACTTTATTTCCTTTACGACTCAAACACTCAAACACAACAGACACTTGGTTCCCAAACACCCTGCACAGGCCAGGGGGGCCTTCTGTCCCCTCCCCTGGCACTTCACAGTCCCACGTGCACATTGCACTTGTCTTCACCTCACTGCTGTCAGCCATTCCCAAATCCACGCTTCCCAGGCAGGGCCAGAGCAGGAGATAAAGTACTCACAGTATAGTCCAGCTTACGTGGTGTCTCCCAGTTGGGTAGTGTAGTGTCTGGTGCCCATCTCACCTCAAGATGGGCTACAGGATCCCATTCCAGCTGTGCACAGCTGGGCTGGAAGGGCCTGAACCTTTGAGGAGTCCCGGGAGAGACTGTCACTGTTAGTGCAACAGGCAAAACTCGGGCAGAGATGATGCCCCAAGACATGACAACAGTCTCCAAAAGGGGTTGCAGGTGCATGGAGAAGGCTGGGATACCCCAGCATTCCTGCAACCAGTGGAAGTTCTGCAGATGGACCTGGGTCTGGCCTTGGGGTGAACACCTGGAGTCAGCCCCGGGGGTCAGACTGTTCATCCCCAGGGATTCCTGGCCCAGCTCTGCCATTCTGCTGCTCCACCTCCCTGTCTGCTGTTACTTCTGGTGGCAAAATAATTTCTGCTGTGAATCTCTCAAAATGCAGAAAAACCCTTGGGAATTTAAGCAGCATTTTGGGCAGGAGAGAACCCAAATTAACTCTTTTCAGAGCTGGTAGCAGAACGAGTCAGAGCCTGGAGAGTCCAAGTGCTGAGAGACTCCGGGCCCAGGTAGGAGCTGGGATTCCAGGGTGCTCACAAAGAGCAACTGGATTTTCAATACTTCATATTTCGTTCCCAATGAAGTCATCAAAAATCCCACAATTCCTGCGCCTTCATGTAAGGACCTGCAGAATATCATCCTTTGTCTGCTTCCCCCAGGAGCTGGTGCGGAAGGAGTCCAAAGGAAGGTTCTGCAGGGAAGTTCCCAACAGGGACAGAAGCCTTGAAATAGCTCACACCAAACAAAACCAAACACGGCGGGTTGGTCCTCTCAGAGCTCCGGTGGGAATACAGTGTGTCCTCCTCAGGGAAGGCCGAGGCAGGAACATCCAAACCTGGCAGGGTTCAAGGCCAAGTCCACATGCAAGGAGCACATCCAGGCCTCCCAAAGCCTGTGCCCACACAGGTGCCAGGATCTACACGAACTCGGTGAAGTCGTCCACGGAGGAGATGAGCCGCTTGCGCTGCCCCGTCTCGTAGGTGGGCGGCGGGTCCTGGGGCGCCTGGGGAGGGGGCTTGCTGGGGGCAGAGGGGTGCAGCTGCAGGGGAAGGCCAGGGCTCTGGTACTGCGTTTCCTCCCGGAGCTGAAAGGCAAAGGAGAGAGGTGGCAGCTGCCTTTACCTGCCTCATTGGCCATGAGATGCCCAGCAAAGCCGGTTCCCAAGCCCCGGAGCGGCCGCGCTCACCCGGTGCCGCAGCCTCTTGATGTGCCGCAGCCTCGCGATCCACTTGGAGGGGTAGGTGTCAGTGGGGTTTGAGCGGCTGTGGTGGACCTGGGAAGCCATCTGATTTTGGGAGGGGGAAGAGAGGAGCCACATCAGCATGACCACGGCAACAAAATCAACAGAATTTTCAGTGCAGTTTGACAGCAACTGAAACACAGCTCTGAGTTGTGACTGTGCCCACTCTGACTCCAAGGTCAGGTAGAAAACTTAATTCTTTGCCTTCTGCTTGTTTCCTTGGCAGGTGGTGATAGCCCAAGGCACCAGCTGGGAGCCAGGAGGTCTCAGGGAGCTTGGGGTACTCACATTGGCGTGCAGGGCCATCTGACGGGCCACGAAGGGCAGGTTCTTGTCCGAGATGATCTTGGCAACGCTCGTGTCCACGAGCCCCTCCATGTCTTTCATTTGAAGGAGTAAGAAAAAAATTATTTTCGCACGGTTAAGAACAAGCCAAAGGTTGCCAGTAACTAAATAAGTAATAGAAACCTGAGGAACTGTATCACAGAAGTTCCCACTGAGCTCCACAGCTCCCACTGTAACAGAACTTGTACTGTTAAGAACAGCCTGCTGGGCTCTCACATGAACCGAAACATGAGCCAAAAACACTCACAAGTGCCCCTTTGGTAAGAGGAAAACACCAGCACCAGCACTGTTGAGCTCACATGGAGCCATGGCTGGGTCCTGCAGTGCCAGGAGGGACAGCAGAGGCCAAAGCCAGAGGGAGCTGCACCTCCCCTCTCCTCCTGCATTCCCAAGTAGTTGCTGGAGGGATTTGCTCTACTGCTGGCATTTTGTCCTAATTTTGAGTATGAGTGGTACAATGGGAAGATACCTCTTATCTTGGGGAAGATACAGGAATGGGACAAACCCAGATGCAACTGGGCAAACTGGTTCCAGAGAGTTTCTCCTGGAAGTTTTCACTTTTGAAACACAAACCCACTGGGCAGTGAAGGCAGTCACTGACCCCCAACATGGGAAAGGCTGAGGGATCCCCACCTTTCCGACACTGCAGCGTCACCAGGTTACAGTCATAGTCCAGGGGTGTGATGATCACGTGCACAAAGTTGAACTGGCCCTAAGGAGGAAAGAATAAAACAGTCAGAAACATTTTCCTGGCAGCATCGTGGCCCGTGAATGCCACGAACACACATTGTGAACCCACCAAGGCCAACAACTCATGCTCTCCACACTGTCTGCTCAGGTACCACACCAGATGGAGATTTACAACACACCCACCAGGAAAACCCTGTACCTTTATTGTTCCCAATTTAAAGTCCTCTCCTGAATCATTGTAAACGATGGAAACAAAATCATTGCCCAGGTGCCTCTTCTTGTCACAGCGATATTTATCCAGATCCTTGGTGGGCATCAGAGTGGCAATGTGGAAAATGGCTGGAGAGGGAAACAAAAATCCTTAGGTTGGGCTGGGAAAGTAGCAACAGTCACGTGCCAGACAAAGCAGTACCAGCACCAAAATAATAAAAATACAAGTTGTGCTCCCTCAATAAGTTTGTCCCCGTGTGTGACAGCTGAATCCAGTCCCACGGGCTGCTCTGACAGTCCCTGGAGCACGGAATGCAAGTGGTCAGTGGGAAGGAGCAGAGCACTGTGAGGAGCAGAAGTGGCTTTAAGGAGGAAGGAGTTAAAATAGCTTAAATCAGGACTTGCCCTAACTGAGCACCAGGACCTGCAGCATGGAACTGGACTTGTGATGAGCAGAGCTGTGTGGAAAAATCAGGGAAGTTCACCACGGCCTGTTGGATCACTGCTGATTTCTGCACTGTGGGTGCTGCAGGGTGACACAGCAGTGACACCCCCTGCTCAAAACTGCTCTTCAGAGAAACAGAGCAGAGCTTTGACACCACCTTCAGTGAACAGCCTTCAGAGCAACTTGGGAACAACCAGCTTATTCTGCAGAGCTCCACACCCAACCCTACCGACCCGTAGAGAGCAGGTCACTTTAAAAGTGCAGTGATTTTTCTTTTCTTAAATAAGGCAGGTCTCCTGAACTTTAACACATGGCTTGCAGAGATAGCAGAAAGAACAGGAGCCCCAGGTCACCTTCCCTCCACCCTTGGAAAGGAAACTGTGCAGAAGGCAGGTGAGTCACGGTGAGAAGAGACAGACCATCCTTCCAGCTTCTGGAGCCACCTCACCTTGCATGATGTCATCGTGCCAGCAGTAGGTAAACTGGCCATCCTCCCCACACACGTCCAGGCCCCCGAGGTAGATCTTGTCTGGCTGACAGTCTTTGAGCTCGATGAGCTTCCCCAGCCCCGTGAGGAACTCGGTGTAGCGATAGGAGCCGTGCTCGTTGGACAGGATCGCGATCTCGTTGTTGCTCTGGGACACGGGAACGTGGCAGAGTCACTGAGTGCCCAGGGCACCCAAGAGCACCAGTGACAGGTTATCACCTTCCTGGGATTAGGTCACTACCCTCCTAGAAGGGCTTCATGCAGGCACTGATTTTTACTGCAAGAAACTAAGGAAAAGCAAGGCTTGCAGGAGCAGGACAAACCCACCAGCTGCAGGGGTGCCTGGCCCTGTGCAGGGGCTGAAGGCCCTGCTCACACTCATCTGGCCCTCCCCAATGTACAGCACTGCAGTCCTGTGTGTGTCACACTCCCCTGGCCCTCCCCAACGTCCAGCACTGCAATTCTTGTGTGTGTCACACTCACCTGGCCCTCCCCAACATCCAGCACTGCAATCCTGTGTGTGTCACACTCACCTGGCCCTCCCCAACATACAGCACTGCGATCTTGTGTGTGTCGTACGACGGGATCTGGTCCAGGAGCTGCACCGACCTTTCAAACGTCTGCAACCAAAGCACTGGTCACACCCTGGGCCAGGGGAAGGGGTCTGGGGGGGCTTTAAGGTCCCTTCCAACCTGAGCCATTCCAGGATTCTGTGACCTTTAAAAAATTACCTCCACACAGTCACTGCCTGCACTAAAACCCCTTCGGGACAGAGCAAGCACAGATTCCTGACCTTCCCTGGTGT